CCAGACTTTCGCTTTTACGAAGAATCAGCATTAAGCATACATTCTCCTGTGTTTTCACTTCCATTTCTGAATCCAGGACAATGAAGTTTTAAGGACCCACAGCCTCCCCGCTCCCTCCCACATCTTCCTGCAGTAATTACAAACACTTTGTCTCGTCATTTCCAGGCCAGAGAAGGAAAAAGTTTCCTGTTAGGCACACTCATTTTTATGTTCTTCTGAGGCACTCAGATTTCTAACAAACCAGCCAAACACGAATGCTTCCTTAGTAACAAATGACTTACTGGAGTCACTTGCTAATATTTCTATTGAAATATGTCCTCTTTAAATTTGATTTAAATTTTGCATTTTCTTTCATATAATTAACAACATTTTATAAGCTTGTAAAATGTCCTATAACTTATTTGTTTATTTTGAAATTGTGATTTAAATTAGTATTTTTTTATTTATGCTTTGGCATTATATTAGAAAAGCCTCACCCTAAAATTACACTTTCCCTAACTCACCAGTATTTGTAGTGTGATTGCTTTTTTCTCTGATGCTTGTCTGGGAATCGAATCCTGAGCACTCTGAAGAGCACTCTGAAGACTGGACCAACACTCCAGCCCTGAGCTGTACTCCCCACCCTCTCTGTTATTTTATGTTGTTTACTGCTGCTGAATTTATGGATGAGTTTAACCTTTTCTGGCTAATAGACTGAAGAATAATGTGTCCTGCCCCACTGGGTAAAACAGCGACATCAACAAGGTAAACTGTGCTCTCAGATTGGCTGGAGCTTCCCCATCGGCCCTGCTCCTATTGTGTCATCTGAGAACTCCATATGTGGATTTACAGGAAGCTCCTCCTCCACCATTCCCCTCAATGCTTCCATTGTCACTAACTCATATTTTGAGCTGTCCTTACAAACATTTCACCGACTAAAATTAAATCCTCTCTTCAGTACTTTTACGGAAACTATTTATGTAGCACTCCACTGCATAACATGAACCTAATGTTACAGATTAGCCATTACATAATTTAACTCTACAAAAATTTGGGCTTGAATTTGGAGAAAATTGGCATACTTAAAATAATGAGCAACCCCATTCAGGAACACAACAGCTGTACGTTGATCACACCCCAGAGTGTGACTATCAGAGTTCCTCTTGGGCCCTGGATTCCTGCTGGGTCCCTCCCAGCTATGAGAGTGTATTTCCTGTGTTCTTTGCCATGGGTAGAGATGACAGTCCTAATTTCATATAACTCTGATACGTCCTGAGATTGCTCACACTGTGCTCTTAACTGATTCTCTTGCACAGAAGGGTTTTGTCACCTTTTCGTGACACCTCTATTGGTCTTGTTTGTCCTCTTCCCTTTCCTGTGGCCAGAGCTTTCGGCTCAGTGGTCAGCCAGGCGTCTGGGCCCCTCCGTGAAGTGCTGGAATCACACAGGGCTCCAGGAGCAGCTTCCCTGGGGCCCAGAACATCAGTGACCCCGATCAGCATCCCCAGCGTGTGCCTTTGCCCTTCTCCACCCTACTCCCCAGCATCACGTCTCCCCAAAAGGCAAGCATGTGGGATTGCACCACCTTAAAGCACAGCAAGGCCCAGGGTCACAGTGAAAGACTCAGCACCCCCTCTGCCACTAGCACCCAGCACTGACCACTGCTTCCTTCTGGTGAAATTCAGCTGAGCCAGGCTGCAAAAGGGTGCAGAGCGGGGATGGCTGTCTCTGATGTGTCTCTATCCTGTTTGTCTCCATGTCTGTCTTTCTGTCCTTCTCTGTATTCTTTCTTTCTCCTCTCTTCCTGCTCCATCTACTTTCTTCTCTTACTGAACCCCATCCTCCCAGGGCTCCCTCCCTGAAGTGTGCAGAGGGCGGGGTGCAGGTGGCTCTGCTCTGCCCTCACTCCTCTCCCCGCTACCAGCCATGGAGTTCACTCAAATGGGTGTTAGATCTAGGGCAGGATTTGGAGGGAAACCCTGTGGTACATCAAGAGTCTCACAGGAAAACATCATCCAGGCTCCTCACACCTGGGGGTCCATGGCAGGGGGTGCTTGGATCCCCCAAGTGTCTGGAGCCTTCCTCGGGTCTCTTGCCCACATCACCCTCATATCCACGTCGGGGTTTCTTCTTGCTAACTTTGTGTGCTCTCCGATGGCTGCATACTTTGCACATCCAGGGTTTCTTCTCTTCAGCAAATGACTGCTAGCTTTTTATCTCTGATCCCTGTTCCCCTCAGGAGCCAGAGCCCTCTGCAGGGCCCCATAAGCACTACCCACCCTACACCCTCCATCCTGGTGACCTCATTCCCCCTCCCCCTTCCCGTCCCCTTCCTCCTCCAAAGGTCCCCACCTGCCCAGGCCAGGCTCACTTCCCATGCCCAGCACTGCTCCCTTAGGTTTTAAGCCAAGAGTTTGAACCTGCTCCACACACTCCCAGCCCAGCCCCTGCCCTGTAGCTGGTGCTCCCCCTCCAGCTTACAGAGCCTCACCCTTGGGTCATTACTCCAAGCTCTCTTTTCCTAGAGGATGTCTTTCTGTTTCTTTAACTATACTTTCTGAGTGCCCAGTAGCTTTGCAGACCCCTGGGCTTTACCGTGGACTTTCAGGCACACACAGCAGTTTGGATCATTCCCTCCTTCCCTCCCCCATTCCCTTCCTCTGCTCTAGGAATGAATTCCCCTCTACTTTTGCACCATCTTTTTTTCCTTAGGTTCCATGCGTGATACTCAAGGAAAACACATGGTGCTTGGCTTTCTGAGCCTGGCTTATTTCTCTCAGCAGGATGATTTCCAGTTCCATCCATTTTCCTGCAAATGACATAGTTTTGTTCTTCTTTACAGCTGAAAATACTCCCTTGCATATAAAATATGCCATTTGCTTTATCCATTGATCCATCAATGAACTGGTTCCATATTGTGGTTTTTATAAACAGTATCACCAAAAAATGGGCACCCAGGCCTCCCCCCACTACGCTAGCTGTAATCCCTGCAGGTGCCCACCCCGGAGAGGGGCAGCTGGTCAGCTCCCCAGGGCTCCACACTCACTTCCAGGTGACTGAATACGTTTGTGTTTCCGCCTGCAGTATGAATGGACAATTACCCCTCGCATCCTCCGCACACAATGCATCTGAAGGTTATTCAGAGCACCAAAAGGACACAATCAAAGGGTTTTCAGGAAATCACAGTTCAGATCATATCCTCTGCACCTCTGTCTATCATATTCTCTGGCACTGCTGTGAAACAGCCTTCTCTACAAAACCAAGGTGCTTCCCTGTGCGCCAGCTGTCTTAGTCACCTTCTCCTCAAGGCTGACACAATTGGCACAGCCACATAACACACACCCCAGAACCCATATTCACTGCACATCCCACACACCAAAGTCACACCACACACACCATACACACCACATTCACACCAAACACACCACACTCACACACATGTACCACACATACACACTTACATCCACATCTGATTCAGGTTCAGGTTTTCAGTCCACAGCCAGCTGGCTCTAAGGTGGGACAACACAGTGCAGGGTCAGGGCAGAGAGCAACTCACTCCATGGGTCCAGGGAGACAGAGAAAGGAGGAGCCAGGGAGGGAGAGGAACCCTCCAGGCCATGTCCCACTGAGCTTCCCCAACACCCAGTGTCACATGTGGCCACAGTGTCCTGTGACTCAATCGCCTTTCACAGCCCCCTGTGAGTACCTGAGGATCTGGGGGACACTGAGACCTCCACTGTAACACCCCCGCCTCAGGAATGCCGGGGCTCCCCCTTCCAGAAGACATTTCCACAGGCAGAATGAACCAGGCCTTTTCTCCTCCTGGTCCTCTACCTTCCCTCAAATATAAGTGTCTTCAGAGTCCTTAATATTGAAGGTTAGAAAGTGAATAGGCAGAGTCACAAGTATATTTGGTAAGAAAATATAATACCATCAAAATTTAACTCCTAAACATTTATTTTAAGGCTTAAAGAGATTTCTGCCCTTTTTGGCCTGAACTCCCAATGTGCATGATTCTTTGCTTTCAGACAAGAAGGGCAAATTCTCGATTACTGGAGCTGTTCCTTCTGCTGGGTGTGCTGGGTACATTTGTCACATGTGTCTTTACTGGTGACTCAGCTGACAGCCCTGAGTTTGGAAAGGGCTTCTGACTCCCACTACCCAGTTTCACATCTTTGCACCCTGCCTAGCACCTTTCAGAGCCTGCATCAGCTGACCCTTGACCATGCTTCTGTGTTGTTTGGGGGTCCATAGCCCCCAGGGCCCTAGACTGTCCTGCCCAAGGCCCTCATGCCCACCTTCTTCAAACACTTGACTTTGGAGGCCAGGAATCTTTCTGTGGACCTTACAGAAGCCCACTAGTTGGGTGACATTTGGTAGACTTGGCCAGCTTTCACCCTGGCTAACCCTGCACTTGGTACATTAGACACATTTTCACCCTGGATACAAAACCAGATTCCTACAACTTAAAAGAGCAGAAGTTTACGTTGGATCCCTCAGGGGGTTCAGTCCATGGTTAGCTGGCTCCAAGCCAGGAATATCATGAAGTGAGGGTGTGGAGGAACAAAACTGCTTAGTTCAAGGAACACACATACAAAATAAAGGCTTGAATCAAACAGAATCATCCAGAAAACCCAGCCAAATGTCATGCTCCCTGGTTTTGGAGCCTAGTACATATTATTCCACTGAGGGTAGACCAGGGAACAGTGCCAGAGAGCAAGGGTGAGAGACCAGGCATTGACCCCAAGACCATGTCCCCATGAGCCACCAGATGCACCCAACTCTATGCTCCACCACTGCCCCAAGCAGATCCCAAACTGACCCAGCTCCCTCTGCCCTAACTGCCACACTTGGCCTTTGACCAAACAACTCCAAAACCTCACAGCTCCTTTTGAAATATACCCTACAGCTTCCTGTCAGACATCTTCTATACAGAATAAGTGATCATTCTAAACTTAGCATAGGGGGTTAAAGTATTTGCCAAGTTTGTCTTGTTATTTTATACAGTGCAGAATCCTTACCAGGAATCAAGTTGCTCAGGTACCATCCACATAAAAAATAAAGGCTTGAGTCAAACAGAATCATCCAGCAAACCCAGCCAAATGTCATGCTCCCTGGTTCTGGAGCCTGGTACATATTATGCCACTGGATCCCTGGACAGAAAGAAAAGGTCAGTGTAAGAGCCATGTTTCCTCTTTGGCTATTCAGGGTGAGAGGAGTTTATCAGTCGTAGAAGCTTCAGGACAGCTAACTGGAGTTGAGACAAAAGGAGGTTGGTACCGTTAGCTATAACCGCTCAGAGGAAGAGGCAATGTGCAGGGTCTTCCGTCAGCTTCCATGGCATTGGTGCAGTGACAACTAACATCATGTTACCTATCGTCTACATCTTTAAAGGTGCTTGACTTAGACCTAATTTCACACAGTTATTAACAAAAACTCGTGTCTGGGGAAAATCAGCATTTTTAAATGTCTCCTTAAGAGCCCACATTCTATATTATAAATTTTTTCTGCCCTTGAAATTATGTAAATAATTATGTAAATAGGAGATCTAGGGTAAGAAAGAATCATTATTTTCTTACAAAATTTCACAATTTATTTCTTGACCAAAATATAAGCTAGGAAAACCATTCCTCTTTCTAATTTACTTAGGGTACTAAGGTACAACTTAATGAGTTGCGTGTATTGATCATGGTGTGCGTGTTGGAATTTGAACTGAAATATTCAAATGATCTGATGGTGGTCATTTTCCTTCTGTGGCTCCTTGATCCAGTTTGTTTCACAGTTTAACTTGAGAAATACAGAAGAAATCAGCAGGACTACTCATCTGTTCAAGGTATCTTCACACATCTTATATAAATTCTGAGAAGAGTAATTACCTGGCTAATGTAAATGTGGGATTGAGTTTTATTACAGCATCTATTCGGTCTATGTTAACAAAAACACATCCCAAATCCATATAAAAATATGAGAAATATATGTCTGTTCTGTTTAAGATTTTGGTCATCAAAATCTCAATGTAAGTTTAAAAAAAAAAAATCTCCCCCATCACTATTTTGAAAAATCACCTTAGGCCACATTAACAGGGACACAGCACATGGAGAAAGTTGGAAAAGACTGTCATGCTTGATTCTACCCAGGCTTCATCTGGGGCCAGAAGAAAAAAGTGGACAAACATGTGAGTGGGTGTCACATGCAGGGAGGACCTGGAGAGAAAGGGGAGCAGACCCAGGAAGACAGACCCAGCTCAGCAGTGCTACCCAAGGCAATGGGGTGCACCCATTCCTGGGGGAATTCAGATGGTTGGGGTGGCCTAAGGCAGACTCAGGCATGAGCTGGGTCGGTGGCCTGGACCCTCTGCAGCAATGCAGGTCAGAATTTTTCCAGATGGTTCTCAAAACCAGGGCATGAACAGGGAAACCCAGGACCAGGATCTCCGTCCACCTGCTCCACTGGAGACCAACTTCACATTTCCCAAACCAGAATCCCAGGGAGCTGCTTTCTGGAAAGGCATCCTCTCACCTGCCTCTTGTCCTTCCAAGAACGTGATGAAAAACACCCCTTGTCCAAAGGCCGTGGTCGAGAGGAGGCACTGGTCAGGGGTTGAAGAAGCGAGGAGAGAATAGCCTGTTAGTGTCTGATGGGTCCACAGGAACCCCGCAATGCTAAACACAAAGAGGCATCAGGATCCTCCTTCCAGTTCTGAGGATGCCGAGCCATGACTTTGGGCGGTAATTTCAATTATCTGAGCCGTAAAGGCTTCACAGACTATCAGTCTCCTCTGAAAAGCATGCTAAGCTGGCTTTTAACGCTGAAGGGCATTACTGCTCTTTACTGCAGTACTTGAAGCATCAGAATCCAAAACACTGTGTGTAAGACAAAGAGTGGGAGATGGAATGCAGCAGTTTACTGCTTCTGACTGAGAACTGGATGCCCTGGAGCACATCGCCGGCAGACTGACAGGCTGTGAAGTCCACGCAATGCTAGAAAGAACACGCCTGGGAAACGGTATTTTATCTGCAGTGGGGAGGTTCTGCTTGGGAGAGAAAAGGGGCCAGCACACAAGCATCTTACCCTTAAAACATACAGAGCACTGGGTTTCCATGTCTTTTTTCCACTTGCTAGAAAACATCTGAATATTCACAAAGGAAACCACCACTGTATGCATGAATCTTTTAAATTCAGGGATTAAAGGAAAGGCAAAGGCCTTAGAAAGCTCACACAGTTCATCAGTGACTCGGGGGGGTAAGGACCTCACTCAAGAAAGTGGTCCTCTGTGTGCCCATTATTTGAAAACCCATAATTAACACTAGTACAAAACCATTGGCTGCGGGTCATTGCAAATACGATGCAGGCTGCTCAGCTCGAGGAACTACTGTCAGTGGACTGAAAGCCAGCTGACTCTAACACGCCCTCAGTGCATATGCAGGCATATCTTGAGCATGTAGGCTCCAGCACTGAGCCACTTACTGGAGGTGGATAGAAACAGCGCTGCTTTCACAGCTACATTTTACTCCAGGCTCTGAGTAAGAATAAAAGAGGAGCACCTCCCAATGAGTAAGTGATGCAGTAGGGTTGTCAAGAAGTCTGTTGGGACCAAAGGAGTTTGAAAAGGCTTTAGAACTCCTTGGAGGCCCTGGGGTTCCAAGCCCAGGACTTCTAAGTCCAAGGTCTAGTGACTTAGAACCCCAGGATTCCTCAAGATGGTTCCACGCCTGTCTCCCACCAGACACCCGCAACCTGCTGCAGGAGCTGAAGGCCTCAGTTTTCTGATGTGAGTAAGAACAGATAGGCTACTGGTGCTGCAGAGGAGATCTACCTAACAGTGATATCCACTGCCTGACACATGGGTCAGTTTCTTGCTGTGGTCAGGCACTGTGCCTGCCAGACAATCGTCATAAAAGTACGTGGCATTCTCTCTTTTCTGTACTTTACACAGCAGATCCAAAAGACATTCACATTCTTTTTCAGGAGGTACATTCCATATGGATGAGAAGTTCTGATATTGCTAAGGGATTCTTTTACTTCTAAAATAGCTGTAGAAATCTATTTCTTTCCATGCATGAAACAGAGAAACTCCAGTTTCCTGGTGCTTCCCGAAAGGACATGCCAGAGTTGTCAGCGAGACTCTATTTACAAAAAAAAATGCACATTTTGAGCAGGCAGCCAAAGAAGCAATGTACTTTCAGTGAACTACCACCAAAACTTTGTCATTTGTGGGTAGAAAAAAAAAAAAATAAAGATATCAGGAAAGCCCGCATATATCTAAGAGTAATAAATTAGTGATTTAGGGGGGTGGCTGTTCTGATGTGCAAATGGCTATTTCAAATTGCCTTTCGCAGAACTGCCCACTTACCAGAAGCGTCTGGACAGCCAGGCTTAGTTGCTTGTGCAGAACCAGCAGGACTATGTAGGGCAGGAAGCTGATGAGGTACACTAGGCTAGTGCAGAGGGCGGCTGTGTTAGCTTGGCTGAAAAATGCACTTAAGAAGTAACTCAGCATGATGGCTGACACCCCGAAGTCCAGGAGGAAGAGGAAGAGGATGAAGGCATTGCTGTGTGTGAAGATGCCACTGGCTTTTAGAATGATGGCCACAGTGGCGCTGCTCAGGGTGAGCATGGCCATGTTCTCCAGGAGCCAGGCCAGAAAGTGGATGGCTGGGTGGACGCCCATCATCTGCAGGTACTGTGGACCGGGAAACGAGGTCACAGTGTGGCACAGGATGGTGGGGGGAGTCAGTGTCCAGCACCCTGGGGAGGACACTTCCCTCTAGAGCTGGGTGTGGGGCTCTCACAAGCACCTCACCAAGTGGGTCATCACCACCTTAGAGACAGGAGGTGTGAGCATGCTGTCCCTGGTGAGGACACAGGAAGGCAGGGATGGCAGCAGGTGGCCAAGACCTCAGGTCAGCCCAGCACAGCCACAGCCTTGCTGTGATCTCAGGTTTGCTGGGGTTTGTAGTTTTTAATACCATGCTTCATTTTGTTTGTGCTGGTTTTGTTTAATAAAGAAAGAGACAAAGAAGGCAAACCGGTGCTTGCACTCTGCAGTCTGGTGGGTCCCTGAGTGGGCTCAGGAATGTGTTTAGCAAAATAATCCACATAGAAATAATGAAAATAAAATGAAGTCTTCCATGCCCTCTCCCATCTGCTTATCCATCACTCTGTGATACTCTGGGTGTGGGTTCCCTATGCGTATAGGGAGAAAAACTGAGCTGAGCGTGTATAATCCCAGCACTCTGGGAGGCTGAGGCAGGAGAAATGCACATTTAAGTCTAGCTGGAGTAGCTTGGTGACTCAGCAAGACCCTGTTTCAGATTTAGAAATAAACCACTGATGGGATCCTAGCTCAGGGCAAAGGCCTGAGCTCAGTCTCAATCATGGTACCACCAAAGAAATAAAAATTCAGGCAAATAATAACCCTGGCCACCAGTCTCCACTTGAAGAGGGAGGAAATGCAGCCATCCCTGAGCAGAGAGCCTAGAAAAGGGAAATAGCACACATCACAGTGACACAGCCTCTGCACAGCTTGGAACACTGATAATAAGTACTTAGAGGCAAAGAGTGCACAGCTACAGTCACCTGGCCTCACCCTCTGCAGGGACCTGTGGGCAGTCCCATCTCCCAGGCACTGTCACCCATTCACACTCTCAAAAGCCATCAGTAGAGGTAAAAGCCTTGGCTGTGGTTTTCGGGGCTTTATGCCCAGGGAGACCACCCCGGACCCCAGCAAGGGACAGGAGCAGGACACTGCAGGGCTCCCTGCCCGCCCTTCCACCCCCAGCCAGGAGGCCCTTTACCTCCTCTATCTGGATCTCCCGCTCATACACCAGCTTCCGCACCATGCTGGCCACGGACACCATCCAAGTCAGCATCATGATGAGTGGGAAGAAGAACCCGACATTGTTCAGAAACCTGGAAAGATACAGTCAGTGGGCACCACGGTTCTATCAAAGTCAGGCACTAGAAGGATGAAGTACCAGTGGGAACTTCACCATATTTCCCTTCAAGGCTATGTGCACTCCAGACCCATGACCTGAGCATCTGGCTGTGACCACTGTCCTGGCTGCTGAGGATACGACCCGGAGGAGACCCACGCAGGGCATGCAGCTGGTTCCAGGTCCCCCAGAGCCCAACCTGCATCCTCTGCCCCCTGCTTCACGCAGAGAGGCTGAAAGGAAGGAATCATGCCATAAGCCCTCAATCAGTGACCCCAGCAACCGAGTCCCAGCACCCACAAAATACATGCAAATCGGCAAGTGAGCGCCTCCATTCTGTTTCTCCTACACTCGCTGTTCAGCCCACTCAGACTGGGCTCCATGTCTAATCCAGAACGAGGACACAGTGACAGCTGTGTCCTTGGGTTTAGCTCTGGTCCCCCACATCGCAGCCTCATGAACAAGGCCACGCTGGCTGACCCTCCTTCCCTCCTTGCATTGCTCTAGGCTGCTGAGCAATCCTCACCTGTCCACCCACTATAGCGTTCCCTCTCCCTGCTCTCCAGTGAGAACCCTTGGCAAGTTAGTTATTTTATTCATCACTAAGATCAACTGAAGTTTGGAGCCACAGGATTGGGCCCAGGGTACACCAGTGAATGAAACAGGTAAAGGTCCCACCAAGGCCTCTATCCACTCTAGAATATGGGAGGGGGAAATAAGCCAATCAGCCAAGAGCTGCTCCCTGAACACAGTGAGCAGTGAGGGAGGCGGGGAAAGCAGTGGCTGCAGCCAATGGGAGAAGAACACTTGTAGGACAGGGGAGGGGGCCGGAAGAAGCAGGTGAGCAGGGAGCAGAAACAAGGAAAGGAGGAGCCCTGAGGTGTCTGCAGGCAGGAGGTGCAGGGTCAGAGGCAGCTTCGAGGGTCCAGTCAGCAGCAGCCCCAGCCTGAGCAAGAGAGAGTGGGCAGAGCACTGGCGGCCCAGAGCCTACAGGGATTCGTGCACACAGGGTAAGCCCTGGATTTTAGCAAACAGGGAGACACCACCAAAGGGTTTGCAGAGGAGAGGAACACAGAGAGAAGACGTCACCAGGAACGTAGTTTGTCTTCTTAGATTTTGCTTTCCCTTTTCAGTACTTGGACTGAATCCAGAACTTTCACAGTGAGCAACACCCTCAGTCTTTTCTTTATTTCATTTATTTTCAGTTAGGGTCTGGCTGAGTGACTAAGTTGCCCAGGCTGGGTTCAAGCTTCAGCCCAGAGTGCTCAGATGATGGCAGGTATCTGGTTTCTACTAATACCACTGGATGGAGGATGTCAGTGGCATGAAGGGGGAGGCCTGGGAGAGAGGGTTGGGAGGCCCCATGTGCCTGGGCTTTCTGGGTAGGAGACCCAGAACTTCTGCTGAGGTCCAGGTCAGCCTTGCAAATGAGGATCCTGGATCAGTATCATGAGGCACCTCAGAGCACTCAGCACAGCAGGCCACCTGCTGGGGACCTGGTGGCCCGGTCACAGCAGAAGCTGAGTCTCCCTGTTCCTCTCTCTGGGGCCAGGTCTGGCACTGAGAGGAAGCCAGCTGTGCTGCTGAGTATATTCCTGAGTTCCATATCCACTGTGTCCTTCCGCTCTGTACTGAATTTCACGTTTCACTGAGGATGAGTGAACCTCTGTTTTCATTCATTTTTCAGCTGCAGACAACTGTTATGACTTGGTGAACCCTGTCAGCCACCACAGGAAAGCTAAGTGAAGGCAGCTTACCCAGTCCTCTGCTGTGTGGGGAGCAGGGTGGTTTTTGGTGATTTTTAAATCATTTTTGGTAGCATTCTGAAGAGGTAGAGGGCTATAAAATGGAAGCCACACACATATCCACCAAGCCAAAGCTGACTGTCCTCCCAGAGAGGCATAACCGCCACAAAGCCAAACCCCAAGGATTGTAAAGTTCAAAGTCACTCACAGTTGGTTTATTGGGGGGACAGGGTTCAAAAGGTTGTTTTTTTGTGAACTTCTCTGTTTCTAAAAGACCAGGGGTGGACAGATACTGAATTTATTCTCTCAGTGACTTCCATCTCAGGAAAGCCAGTGAGAATCATGCTCAGATAATACCCGAAGTCCTACTTCCGAAAGCCTCTAAAATCACAGTGCTGAGAATCCACACTGGCTGCATCCTGTGGACACTCAGGTCTGTGAAGGACAAAGCCACCAGAGCTCAGAGTCACACCCAGCCAACCCCGGTCTTCTGGAGCAAGTGCTTGTGGCCAGGGCTTCCGTACTGCACACACTGCAGAGCTGTGGGGGAGAGAGACAGTGTAAACCAAGCAGAGAGGAGAGACGCAGCCACACTGCACAGTCTCTGTAGCTGTTACATCAAAAACCGGCAAGAAGGGGAGAAATGTACCTTCCAGCTTTGTTAAACTTTTGGAAAAGACATCCAAGAACCAGAGAAGGCTTCCAGTGACAATCACACTTGTGTAAGGGTCACACAAACAGTGTAAGTAAAGAACACTTCAATCGTTCCCTCCGCAGACCTCAGAAGGAATCTTGATAGTGGAATTCTCAAAAGTTGGCGGAACAGTCTGTACAGGAGGTACATACAGCCGCATGGAAGTGAGGGTCAAGAGGCATTTTAAATTGGGAAATGGAGGAGCCACCTGGCCCCTGCACCCTATTTCCATAGAAACACACAGCAAGTCTACGTGAAGAATCCACACACTTGCAAGGAAGCTGCCTCTCCTTGTAGAAGTAAGACAGCCTCTGAGTTCTGCAGCCACTGATGGCTCCTGGTCCTCCCCACCAGGTGGACCTTCTCACGAAACCTGAGCAGGAGCACATGATTTGTTCCAGAGGAGTAACCACCGCAGAGACAGAAGTCTATCAAAGTGCAACTAACAGTCACACCACTATGAATGAATGAAGAATTCATGCCAAAAATGATGGTGACACAGAGCAGATGAAAATAAGGAAAATATTCTTGCCACCAATTCCAAAATATCTAATAAAGCAAACTCCTCTATAAGGAATACCACACAGTACAGCTGTTGGAATCAGGTAGGAGATAACAAAATGGCAAAAAATATGAATTTTAAGTTGGAAGATCTTAAAAAGAAGTAGACATAAAATTATAACTATCAAACAAAAAAACTGGAGGAGAAAGTGACCATGGCTCAAATACTATAAGGACATAAAAACATATATAGTAAGTACAACCATAAGAAATAAACAGTTCAAAAGAATTGGAGAAAAGTTATGGACAGAAACACTGGGGGAAGAAATGTGTATCACTGAAGTCCAGAAAGAAATAAAACAGAACACAGGAAAATGATCAGGTTGGTAAACCTCCAATGCGTCAAAGGTGTGGGGAGTAATTGAGACCTAAAATGTTGCTCAGAAGCTTCACAGGTTTCGCTAATGTGGGCTGCACTACCCCGCTGTGGTGGCTTTATCCCTTGATGAGTTCAGTATTCCATGCAGCCTTAGGAGGTTGCTTGGAGCGGGCAGGTCACTGGGGTTGGGACCTGGAAGTCCACACCCAGGCCCAGTCTCCTCCCTTCCCTCTCTGCTTCCTGGCTGCCTCCCTCCTCTAGGCTTCCCCACCTCACCCTCTCTGCCTTGGAGCCAGCATACTAAGGACTGAACCCTTTAAAAAAACGCGAGTCAAAATAAACTTTTCCTTTACCACTGTGGGTGTCAGGTGTTCTGTCACAGTGATGAGAAAGCCACTGACTGGGTTTCCACAAAGGAAACTGTGAACTGGCAGATTCAAAGGACTCATTGTTTGAAGGAAAACTGTCCTGGCACAGACAACAATGTTATGTATTCTGCTAAATATCTTGAATTTTAAACTTACTGGCAACTGGTCAAAATTAGAGTCAAGTATGAGAAAAATATCAAGAATTCTCTACAATATATTAGAGGTCAAAAATAATGACCTTTTCAAAAGGTATTTAATGACCTATTTTTTAAACGTATTTAAGAAATGTTGGAGTGAAGCATTTCATGCCCCACTGAGGTATCTTCCCCAGGACTGGGTTCTCCCAGGCCTAACCTGGTAGGCAGGTCAGCAATCAGCAGCCCACTCAAGGCCTGGACACTGATTGCAAAGCTGTGGGAGCCCTGGACGAAGGTCAGCCCCCAGCAAGTGGGGAAGCGGGACCCGGCTTATCCCCTGTGACTGCCACAGGGAGACTGACGTACTGGATGCCAGAACTCATTGTGTTGTCTGGTGAACTCATAAGGGAATTATTAGAGGACCAATCTCAGCCTCTGGATGAGGGCTGGTAAACCACAGTGTAAGGGGTAATGGCCCACAGTGAGCACCTTTTCCAGTAAGAGAAAGAGAAAAACAAAACCAGAAGTTAAAAGTGCTAAGGCACTTGGGAAATGTTATATTCCCTGAATGCAGTGGGAGGATGAGGAGCCAAGGGATGGAGAACAGGCGGTGAGGCTCGGAGAAAAACTAGCTTGGTGCAAGACAGAAACAAAAGGATAATTTTTCTTCTTATTAGCAAGTGGAAGCGAAGTGTCTTGGCAGTGAGGTAATAACACCACCCAGTGTGTGTCTCGGCAGCATATGCGATAATAAAACCAGCTAAACTTCATAGCAGAGTGGAGAGGGTGTGTGATAAAATAAGAGAACAGTTCGCTTTCATTTCTCAGTGCACTGATATTCTTTATACAAATCAGAACTCAAAGGAACCACTGGGACAATAATAAAGAGCAAAACATTACCACAAATTTGCTTAAAAAGTAAAATCATAAGTGTAGGAGAGCCCGTGCGTGCGTGCGTGCATGTGTGTGTGTGTGTGTGTGTGTGTGTGTACAGGCAGAGCAGTCTAAGAAAGGGGGGAAGGAAGTCAGCCATGGGTGAGCCTGGAAATAGGTTTGACCTAAGCATTCAAGCCTCTTGGAAAGGATGCTCACATCTTCACAAACATTTAATTGTCCCATTTCTTTTTCTGCAGGAAGCCTCTCCTCCATTTACATTTTAATAACCCTGGTTAGTGGTGTCTTGGCTGCCACTTGCCTCCATCAGCACAACCCTGTGAGTTCAAAGGTGTGAGACAGAGCAGCCTGCTGGATCAAAGTCACTCTGCAGGGAGCACCACCCAGGGAAATAGCACAGGGACTTGGATCTCAGTGTGGGAGGGTGGTGATTTCTAGGCCCCTTCCCACATCGCCCTGACCCTGCCCATTTCCCTGGCCCCCACTGCCCACTCCTGCAACCTGTCACCCCTGCCAGCCCGCTCAGCCCTCAGCATCCCTCAGAACTGGAACCCAGGACGTGGCAGGGGCCCCCCAAAGGGGAGCACTAGTGCCATGGCCCATGGTTTTTCTCCCTGTGTCCTCTGTTGGTCCCTTCTGCTCTCTGTGACTCGGTGGGGAATGTCAGGGAGGGGCAAGGTGCTCAGTGAGCCTACACCTCTCTGAGTATGACATTCCCTGCCTCAACCCATCTGGGTTTCCGCACATGCAGATGAGGACTGAGAAGACAGAGAAGCCCACTGCTCTAGCTTCCTGTCTGTTCACAGAGCCTGCCCCATTCTTCCCCAGGTCTGGGCTTTTCTCAAGCCTCACCAGGTAGGCAGCTCAGCAATCAGCAGCCCATTCAAGGCCAGGACACTGATTGCAAAGCTATCAGAGCTCTGTGCCAAAGTTCTGCGGACCAGTAAATGGCAAAGCTGGAACTCTATTTAGCTTCCAGAGCAGAAACCCCAGGAGCTCTAAAGAAATCAGCCAACCTCAAAAGCAAGCCTCACACTGGGGACCTAGATCTGCAAAGAGGCAACTGTAAGGTCTCAGACTTAGACTTCTGGGCAGTAAAATTCCTCCCTCAAGGAGTCCTCCCAGATGTCCACCCACATGGGTGAGTGCATGAAGCCAGTAGTGACCAATGGCTCTCGGCACCCCCAGAGCCTTAGGGCTAATCTTCCTCCTTTCTGCTCCTCCTGTCCTATTCACTTTCCTTTCTGAGACAACACACCTGATGCCTGCAGCTTAGGGTTGTTTTGGATCACAGTTTAGTTCATTGTCAGCCAGCTCCGAGGCAGAAAGCACATGGTGGAAGGGTCAGGCGGAAAAGAGCTGCTCACATCATGGTGACCAGGAAGCAGACTGGAGGGGGAATAAATGCTTCCAGGTCACACCCCAGTGACCACCCCCACAGGCCCCACTCCCGCAAGGGCACAGTCAGCCCTGAACTTATGCGTGAATGAATCCACTTTGAGCATGCCAACCCCAAGATCCAACCACCTTTCACTCACACCACCCCTGAATGCACGAGGCTTTGGAGGGGACATTCTAATTTGCACCCATGAACCACAGCACTTTAGTAAGTTACGAAGGCAACATTAAGGACTCTGTGAAGCTGTGAGTGTCTTACATGCCAGAAGTGTGCCCTGGTCATCTGTGTATCGCTGCCCAGCACCGAGGAAACTCATGTTCTGCAGCAGGCTTGAAACAAAAATTTTTAACAGATGGACAGAGCAGGACTAAGTATGTAACTGAAGGGCCACCCCCATCCAGACTGTGCGATGTCTCTGAGTGAGGCTGCTGGGGTCCCTAGCTAGGGTCACTGTTCACCTGCAGAAATGCACCATGTAGGACAAAACAGGAAGCACCTGGCCCAGGCAACGCGCATCTCTGCCACTCCTCAATCTCCACTCTGCCCATACGCACCCACACCCAGCCGCAGTGCTGGGAGACCCCTGCCCACCAGGACCAGCAGCCAGTGTCTCCTGCTCATGACCCAGCTCAGAGTGCAGTGACCAGAAGGAGCCAGAGAGCAGCACAGGAGACGATAGGCCAAGAAAATGTCTCCAAGAAATGTTCTTTTCTTTCTCAAATAAAAGAATTTCAGGATAATTTTTGCTTTTTGTTTGCTGAAACAATGTTTATCAGCCGGCTTGTTCTTTAAAGCCACACATTAAACGTCTGCAATCCTTGGTTGAAATGTGAAAGGCACTGAGGTTCCAGTTCTAAAAGTACCCTTATCCTGGACTGAGTGTCAGTTAAAACGGCCCCCGTGATCACTGCTCATGGACGCAAGGCAGATGGGAAGATTAGATTGGACCACAAAACCCTGGCCCTCGCAAGTTCTGTGATTTCAGCATTTACTAATGCTGGTGTCTTCAAAGAATGGGACCTGGGCTGCTGATGGATGTTACACAGACAGAAAGAGACAGACAGACAGGCAGGCGGGCAGAAGTGTGACATAAACAGGCTTTGTCACTGTGGCCACTCTGCTAGGACCGGACCTGCATTAAGATACTGCGCTCCCTGAGACTTCTTCTCCCTCGAGTCCTTGAGAACACAGCTGCCCTTCTCTTCCTGAGGTGGCCTGCTCCGGTGCGGCACTCCTGAGGACGCCTCCCACTCACATGTTCTCTTGCCTGAGCTGCTGGACTTGGACTCCACTGTCACCTCTAGCTCCTCTGGAATCCATTCAGGTTTTCAGTGTCCCAGAAGGTTTTCACCCGCCCTAACCTCCCCAAGGACATGCACGCCCACAGCTAAGTCCAGAGGTCAATGGTCGCCTTGGCCTTACTTGGCCCACGAGTCCACTCTTGAACCTTCCCGTCCTGTGGCTCCCCCTGCCTGGGTCCACCTTCAAGCTCCTTCTGAGCTGGGGGATTCTCAGTCCCCTCCTCCCAGCCTCTCTGAGGTGAGGCCTGGGCTTGGCGCTGGCCTCTAGTGTCACCAGCTGTGTTCTCTCCCACAGTCACAGCCACCAACCTCAGAGCCCCAACACCGTCCAAATGGAAGACTCAAACTAACACATCCAATAGGGTAGATCAGACTCCTGCAGAAACCTCACCACCTTCTCTGGGCTTCTAAAAGCAAGTCTGACAAGTGCAAAACTACACTTCTATTCCCTTCCTCTGAGCCTTCTCCACCAACGGGCTTTCCTCTCCTAGTTCAGTGTCACTCCAGAGACCGAGGTAACCGGGCTGAGATGGAGTCTTTTGGGTACTGCTACCATGTGCTGGTTCTGCTCAGAATGCATTCTGAACCTGACCAGGATGGGCAGTCTCTCCCCTGGGTTATTACAGGAGCCTCCCAGATAAGGGCATGGTTCCGCAGGTGATCCCCAAACCCTTCCTCACAGAGGTCCTGAGCAGGACATTAATGGAGTCAGGCAGGAGACAGGTCACCTAGCCGCCCAGTCTGCTCTGCTCTGTGCGCTCACCGTCTTTCTCTCGCCCTTCTGCACTCCACACACTCCAAGCCACTCCTATCCCAGGGCCTTTGCTCTGACTTCCCATTTGGTCTGGGACACATGTCATGCTCTGTTTCTGTCTCTGTGTCTGCCTGAAGATTCCCTTCAGGGCTGGGCAGCCCCTGACCACACTAACAACCCCAGAGAACTCAGGCTCCTCTCCCTCCTCACGCCTCTGTTTCTGCTTCGCCCATGCCCAGCACCCACACTACCTCTACTTGCTTCTTACTGCATTTGTCACTCTGTGTCCCTGAGCTGTCAGCACCACAAAGGCCGCAGTGGTTTTTATCTTTCACCTTCCCCAATTCACCCCAGACCTAGCGGCTGACAGACAGCACACAAATGGCACTGAATACAGGAATGAATCAATGAGCAGCAGTCACTCAGTAAGCAGCAGGAAGTGTCCAACACTTCCCACAGGCGTGGTCAGAACCAATGCTTGGGCGGCCTTGCCTGTGACGGACCCCAGCTGTGTATCAATCCGGGCAGCACAAGGGCCTCGGACGGAACACCTGGGCCCTGCACCAGCCCCGGCTCATGACACCTGCGCCCTGCAGGGCCCATGGTCTGTTAGCTCCACAGCAGAAATATCATGGTGGAAGGGTGTTGGAGGAAACCTGCTCAACCCTTGGCTGGCAGGAAGTAAAAAGAGAAGGGAGAGATGTCCTTCTGGGTCACACCCCAGGGACCACCTCCAACCAGACCCCACCTCCTTACAACACAGTCAGCTCTGAACCCATCCCTGGCTGAGTCTGCTGGTGAGTGGGGCACCCATGACCTAGCAGCTCCGGGGACATCTTGGTTCTTTAGCATAATGCCACCTGTCCCACAAAGGGGCTCCAATCACCTGGAGAGGAGTTACAATCTGCCTGCTGACCAGCTGCTGTGCCCCAGGGTGGGACGTGCATGAGCTGTTATCTGCAGTGACCACTGAAGGACAAGTGTCTGTCCTTGTTCTCATAGCTAGGATGACACTCAAACCCGTCCCTTTAATAACCTCACATTCAGCAGCTCACTTTCCACTGTGCATTTCAAGTGAGCTTCAGAAGGTGCCAGTATCAGAGCTAACAGGGGGCACAGCCAGGGACCCACGGCCTGTGTAGCAGATGTTAAGGTGCAGGATGTTGAGGACGACATTCATCAAGCACAAAGGAAGTAGCCTGCAGCAGGGTAGCTCCCCTCTTCTGACATACATTGTTTTTGAGTACTTACTCTGGGTGACTATGGAAAAACTCAAGGCTCTTCCCTCATCACCCACTCCCATGAGAGCCCTTCAGGGTATCTGCGGCGATGCCCACTCACAGGTCACTGGTGTGGCACGGGTAGGGCGCTGCCTGCGTCTGAGCAGTCGGCTCCAGGACTTCCTGCCCGGTCTGCACCTCGACAATGGCCCTTTCGATCATGTCTTGCAGCGGCACAAAGATGTAGTTGTATTTGAACCCGTCGGCTGGCAGACTCTGAGGATGGAACTTCCACGAAGGGTTTTTTATCATATCCGTCCTCATGCTGTGTAAGATGCTGGTGCGAATCGTGTACGTGACGTGGGGCAGCAATTGGAGAGACCCTGAGCCCAAGCTCTTTCCCACGGAGGACGCATTGAAGATGACACCTGGTGGCAGAGAAGGGCAGGTCAACACAAGCAGAGCTCAGGGAAGGTGCATACCTCCCCCTTCCCCCTTCCTCCCCCTGTCCCTCCCTCTCTGTCTTCCCCTCTCCCTCCTCCTCCTGCAGGAGGGGGTCCAGGTTCAGACTCACAGGCTTCTGGGGGTAACACAGAACCAAGACCTCTCTCTCAGTCTGACGGACCATTATACTTTCAGTTTAATCGCATTGTGGTACCACCCACACAAAACATTGTGCGTTTTTTTCAGGACTTGAAAAATTATGCAAGGCTATTCAAATGGTAACCAGCATCTCTTCCGGTGAGTTGCAGACATGACTGGAGGCACAGGTCCGTCCTCCATGATAATGTCCATTCACAACTTAAGCATAAGGATCGTGTTCTGTGCCAAATGGATTCTTTGAGTTTCCAGCATAAACCCTGCCATGAACTCAATTATATGGCCCCAAATGTAGATGATGAAGTCCTCACCCGGGATCTGGAAATGTGAGTGTGTTCAAAGAAGGTGTCTTTGGAGGGGACACTGAGTTAAAGGAGGCCTGGAGAGTGTGCCCATAAAGTACAGACAGCCAGACATACAGACACAGGTAGAGAGAAGGAGGGACAGCCATCTACAAGCCAGAAAGAGATAACGACAGAAGAACTCCCCTCCGGCCCTCAGAAGAAGCCTACTGATGCTGTAACTTTGACCTCCAGTGTCTAGAATGGAAAGACAGCCAATATCTGCTGTGTAAGTCAGCCCCTGCCTCATCACAACCTCAGCATTACAACCCAGCACAAAACGTCAGTGAAACAGTGGGAGAGGAGGAGAGGGGGCAGCTCAGAGACAGAGCACGCAGGCCCAAGCCTATCCCTAGCACCAAAACAATAATAATGGCTAAAGGTTGACTCAAAGAGAAGATACAGGAAAGCGTTATATTTATGGGAGTAAGTACACAGGAACGGATTCCAGTGGACCACTGTATTTTCTCACCCCCAATTTAAAAGAGCAAAATACTATGACAAAAATAAAGGTGGTGGAGAAAATGAAAATATAACTTTGCTTAAGAAAATTGCTATGTATCATGTGAGATTTAACCCACAAAGAATGGCAAGAATCAGGAAGAACAGACTCACCCAGTACCGTTTCCCTCGCGGTGGTGAACACACAGTTAGTCATGACGGCAGGAGATGCGTCTTTTCATTAACTGTGTGTGCTACCCCGCTCTGTCCTGTGTTTTATCTGGGAGAGGCTTCACTTTTCTCTGAGCCAACATAAAACACCTCTAGGGAGAAGTACGGGAGATGACAACCAGGGAGCCAGGGTTTCTGTCACCACATTTGTCGGATACTTACTGGCCAAGAACTTGTTCTGCTTCATAAGTCTGTGTGCTTCCGAGTCCAGGACGTCCACTGACTCCACGGCCCGGAAGCGGTTCAGCAGTATGCAGGAGGAGAGGTTGACCAGAGCACTGCCCAGGAAGTGGAAGTGTCCAGCCCCCGTGTGGTTGAAGACTTTGTCCAGCATCCCTCCTGAGGAAGGCAAGCAGATCAGAGCAAATCAGCTTCTCTTCCCTCCCTACTTTCTGTTCCTACAGTGGGGGTCATGCAGACGACTTTCAAAGCAAGCAAGATTCCTGCATTAAAAAAACATTCAAAAGAGCATCTGAATTTAATCACATGCAGAATCTGCTGTTTGTTTGCTGAACACAAGCTCTCCACTTTTTATATGTGTTCTGTGTCATGCTGATACAACTAAGTGTAAAGAATGTTTAGCACAAGATGGTGTGTTACCTTTTTATATATGTTCTCTGCAAGCCTGATAAATCTAATTGGAGAAACACAGTTAACACACAAAGGGAAGACAGAAACTCATGACAGCCAGCAGAAGACAGAATGAAAATAGAAGGAAAAGTTTGAGGCTCAAAACACACATAGGAAAGGAAAAACTCATAGTACCATTATGTGCAGATGATATGTCATACTACGTAGAAGACCCGAAGCACATACCAAAAAACCCTTAGAAGTAATAACCAATTTCAGCAACGTAGCAGGACACAAAACCAACACACAGAAATCAATCATATCTTGGTGCACCAATAGTGAACTCAGTGAGGAATATATTATGCGAACACTACCACTCACATGAGCATCGAGAAAAATTAAATACTTAGGAATTAACTTAGCCAAAGAGTTAAAATATCTCTAAATTGAAAACTATACAGCACACTGAAAAAGGAGATCACAGCAGATGTGAAAAAATGGAAAGGCGACCTCTGCTCCTAGGCAGACAGAACAAATATTGTCAGAACTGCCATCCTTCCAAAACCGTTCTACAATTCAACACAATTGTAATCAAAACACCAGCAGCATCAGTCACAGAACTAGAGAAAAGAATCCTAAACTTCATGTGAAACCAAGAGTCCCAGAGTAGAAGGGGTAACAAGAGCAAAGTAGAAAGTATCACAATACCTGATCCCAAGCTGTACTATTTACAAAGCAACACTAATAAAAACAGCATGGTATGGAAACAAAAACAGATACATGAGTAATGGAACAGAATAGAGAATACAGAAATATCCCCAGGCACATTTAGGTAATTAGTTAACAAAAAGGCAGCCAAAACATACATTGGAGGAAAGATAAACTATTCAATAAATAGAGAAATAGCTATTGGCAGAAGATTCAAACCAGACCCGTATCACTCCTCATGTATCAAACTAAAATCAAAATGGGTCAAAGATCTAAAAATTAATATAGAAACATTGAATCCAAGGAAAACAAAACAGGTAAAACATTTGAAGACATAAATGTGGGCAAGGACTTTCTGAATAGAATTCCAGTTGCACAAGAAATAGTACAAAAATCAACAAATGGGATTACATCAAATTTTAAAACTTCTGCACAGCAAAATAGTGAAGAGGCAAATACAGGATGGGAAAAATACCAGCTATGCCTTGAGGACTGATTTCCAGAATATACAAAGAACTTAAAAAAAAAAAAAAATGGATCTCCTAAAACAAAAGACTGAACCAAGAAATGGGCAAGTGACATGAACAGACATTTCTCAGAAGCAGGAATGGCCAGCAAACACGTGAAAAGATATTCAATATCTCTGGCCATTAAAGAATTGCACATTAATGCCAAGATGCCATAGCAGGGCAGGTAAGATGCAGGAAGGAGCCAGCAGCCTCTTTTTCCCTTTTATTTCATTGGACTACAAGACAGGAACAGGAATTCCTGTTAGCCACACCCAGAGCTAAATTAAGCCAATTGGTGGAGGAATCTAGTTAGCACATACCCTAAATTCTATGCACACGCTAATGATCCTGCTAACTCCAAAGCCCCTCCAAAATGCTGCAGGGTGCATGCAGCCATGCAGGAGGCACGGGGTGCCCACCCAGTCAGTAGGGTCTCCATAGCAGTTCCCAAAGGACCCTTCCTTTTTCCCCAGTCAGGATTTAATACAGACAGAACTCAGCACACACAATACGCCATGTGCACAGAAACCCACAGTGGATCATGACACCATACTACCAAGTCATCCTGTGAGGCACCACCAGCACTGTCTCCTGTTTACTCCAGCCTCCAGTAGCTGGGAGATGTCAGCTCTCAGTGCTGAGGAGAACCAGGCTGCAAGCTCATCCACTGCACAGCACAAGGCTCAAGCCAGAGTCCCCAGTGACAGCAGGACGCCACTGGCTGGCAGTTCTCATCTCTCCCTAGTGTCAAAGGCAACAGCATCTAACACTGAAGTTAAGAAAGGACGTGAGCTGTAGTCTGGATGATGAAACTGCAGAAGAGCTAAAAGTCAGTAGGGGTCTTCACCTCAGTGTGCCCGGAGCCCCCGACCTGGGAAGCGGTTTCCTCATTGGTGGACAGAGTGGGGTACAGGAACCCAGCGAGAGCACAGCACATCTCCTGGAGTGGTTCAGAGCCTGGGCACCAGGGCCTGGCCTTGGCTTTGACACCTGCTGGACAGGCTGCCCAGCAATGTGATGTGGCCACCAGCTGACTCATGGACCAGAGAGCACAGGGTATGTAGAGGTTGCGGATGCAGATGCAGGTTCCCCCATCCACTGAGCTTTGGGGCCTGAGGGCCATGGGGAGCATCAGCTGCAGGGTGCTTCATCCTCACCCTGCCTGTGACGGGGACTGATGACGACATGCTCTGTAATCAAGGAGATCAGCTGTAGTGAAGCGTGGAGCATAGCTGCGGGCACCTGGGCCATGCAGGATGCATGCAGTGTGGTGTTGTGTCCTGTCACCACTGTGCAATGTCAATTTCCAATAGAAGAACAACAGTAGTAGCAGGGGCCCTACAGAGTGGTATCAGGCGGGCTCCCTGGCTCCCCAACTCACCCTCCCCAGCAGGGACAGAAAGCTGGGCAGCCCAGGCCATAGGCTGTCGAGACTCCCATGGCAGGGGCTGGTGCAGGAGCAAAACCCATGCCTGCAGCTGTAATGTTCACTTCCTCCAGCTATGCAATCTTCCAGGATGAGGTCATGTGTCTGCATCTGCACCTGCATCTGACCTGTGCTGTGCCACTGTGACATGTCCTCTCTGCATTCCTGTTGTGGCCATCGGGAAAGGGGGGAGGGAGGAGGAGGGTGGATGGAGAGGGGAGGGGAGGGGAAGGGGGAGGAAAGGGATGGGGAGGAGGGGGAGAGGTCGAAGAGAAGAGAAAAAGGAGGAGGAGGAAATGTGGAAGAAAAGGAGGAAAAGAGAAAGGGGAGGAGGAAGAGAAGGACAAGGAAGATGAGGAGGAGGAAAGAGGAAGATGAGGGAGGAGGAGGGAGAAGGAGGAGGAAGGAGGAGAGTGGAAGATGAGGAGGAGAGAGGGCTCAATGAGGAGACAGTAAGGGGTGAATCTGTGAACTATGTGACTGCCTGTGCTCAGGTGTGTGTGGCACCAGTCTGCCCCTCGAACGTTTGGTACAAAGTGGTACAAAGGTCTGTCTTGCTTTGCTCCAATCAGCGCGTGGGCCTTGGACCCCACTGGAGCACCTGTGCCCCAGGCTCTGGACACCCCTTCAGCGAGAAGTAGACCCTGGACAGGTGCAGAGGCCCTGGGGATCCACTGCTCCCTCCTGCTCGGGCTGTGCTCAGGACCAGAGGAGGTCACCTTCTGGCCCCAGACCAGGAACACAGCAAGGCTGGGGAGGTGGCTGTACCCACAGCAGCCTTGCCCTCATTCAGGCCACCTCTAAGGTGGGGAAGCTAAGGAATCTGTTACAGGTCCCCTTCTCCATGTCTGTGAAGGAAGCACACCTACCCTTGGGTTGCCAAAAACTAAAAAGTCATATATATATGTTATATGCATAACACTTTATAAATATTTATATTTCATATAAATATTATATAAATGCATTACATACAATATAAAGTATAAAAATGACACAATATTTTAAAATGCATGTTTATTGTATATAAACACATGACTACACATGTAATACATGTAAAGTATACCGTACCTAACTGTAAGTGGCACCAACAGTAACTATGGCCGGATATGTAATTGCTAAGTGACAGGCAGGCACCAAGTGTCTGTGTTTCTTTCCTCCCCATGCAACTCAGCAGGACACCTGGAAACTGCAGAGACTTGAATATTTTTAGGGTGAATTGGAGAAAGCTTAACTTTATGGAATGGAGCACACAGGGTATTTTTATATTGCATTTTATACACTGACCATTTTCTCAGAATGTGCTGCTTTGTTAGTCTTGTCCCGAAAGCCTGGTTAGACAGTTTAACTGCGCATAATTCCAGATGGCAAACACAGTAAGGAATGACCTGACCTCACACTGAGTAGCTTTCACTGTCTTCAAGGAAAGAATCAAAGCTGCTTTAAAAAGAAAAATGCTTGCAAAGCTAGGTCATGTGCATGATTGCACAACACAGAGGCAGAGACACACATATATCAGAGGCACAGGCGTGTGTGCCATGGATTGTGTTATGTCCCTAAAGCCTCATGGGATCCTACGTGAGGCTTCTCACAGGTGGCTGGACCTTGAGGGTGTGACGCTGGGATTGATTCACAGTGCAGGGCTGGGTTCAAGGTCACTAGGGAGCCTGAGCATTGCCCGCCCTGACAGCTAAGAGGGGCTGGGGCCAGGATAGCTCAGGCACAGCATCTGGCAAATGCAAATTCCTGAGTTTGATTCTCAGGACCAAAAATAAAACTGTAAAAGGGGCAGAAGGACAACGCTCTTAATGGCTTTGCCTGTTGCTTTTCTGTCTTCAGCCCTCCTTGAACGGTTGGCCCTATGCCGTGTGCCACCCTGCCTTAGAGCCAGGCAATGATGGACAGAAACCTCTGCAAACTGTGAGCTAAATAAAGATTTCCTCCTTACTTTTCAGTGCTGGGTAGTTTGTCTCAGCGAGGAGAAAAGTAACCAAGACAATGTGCATGTGTGCGTGTGTGCGTGTGTCTGTGTGTACCTGTATACAAACAGCCTTCTGCATCTGTGGCTCTGAGTCCTTGGACTCAGCCCACCTCGATCCCACATATTTTAATGCATTGCCTCTGTGCTAATGGGCAAACTTTTCCCGACCTGGTCCCCTGAGCAACCCAGTGTGGTGTCATTATGTGCCGGTTCTGCTCTAGCAGGATTCTAAGTGGTGGACAATGACACAGGGGTCACGGGAAGAGCCGAGCTGTGTGGAGCACAGCTCTGTGGAGCAGCCTGAGCAGCTATAGGCTGGTTCATGAATTGGATTCCAGGAACAACTCTGTGTACAGTGAGGGACCATGGTACACCACATGCATACACATGTGCATGCACACACACACACACACACACACACACACACACACACACACAGACACATGCACTTCCCACTGGACAGGAGGACCTTAAGCAGCTGTTCCACAAATGAGGACCCATCCCAGTACAGCAGATTGGACAGCAAACATAAAACATGGTCAGATGTCTGCGTCCCTCTGGATGCCCCACATGTGCTGTCTCACCTGGGGGGACAGAGGCACTGCTATGACAGAGGACAGAGTACAGAGTGAGGGACATGGAGGCCTGGGGAGGAACCTGGCCCCGGGCTTTGGGGCCCTCTTTGTCTCCTATAGCATGGTGAGGTAATGCCAAGGGTCAGGAATGGGGTCAAGGCAGAGACATGCTGCCTCTGCTTTGTCCTCAGGGGTAACCAGGACCCTGAAGCTCACACGGTGACCAGAGCACAGCGCAGTACACAAGACTGCAGTACTTTGGCTCCAAGATCCAGACAAGAGAACAAGACCATTGCTTCCTATTCAGTGACTGTAACTCAGGACAGGAAATAGAGCAAGCATGCACCTTGGGGGACGACAGAATTTGGGGACCCCTAAAAACTGTCCTCAACAAATGGCTCCATCTTCCTACTCCAAGGTAGGTGCCTTAATACACGAAGCTGCTCTTGTCTGTAGTCCTGTGCAAGCCTGCTCCGCAGGCGGCAGGGCTTTCCCAGGCATCCCAGCCTCTTTCAAGGGGACCCCTGGCTGCATCACCAGCACAGCTCCAAACATTCCCCCTGTGCCCTGAGGGGAGTCACTGACAGGATCTGGACACAGTGAGCTCTGCCCACGCATGAAATTCTCTGCGAGATTTAATTTCATCAGTGCACTATTAGAACACAAAATAAGCTAATAACAAAAATAGCAGCAACAGGTTTTAAAAACCTCTAAGGATAGAAATGACATTGTTTTTAATGAAAGAAGAGGAGAGGAAGGAGAAGGAGAAAGAGAAAGAAAATGAGACAGAGATGGGAGGAGAGAAAGAAAAAGAAAAACAGAGGAGGAAGAGGAGGCATGAATTTCTGTGGGATTAATTTGCAATGACCAGTGAAGGGAATAAGCGATATTTCCCTACACTTTGCACACAGCACCCAGATTTTGCCAGGTAGAATTACTCTGGAAATATTCTCCCTGCAGTGCCTGTTTGGTTTTTTTTCCAGGATGACATTTTTGTAGGAAACCCAGGAGACATCCAAACAGAAAGATGAGGGTGTGGCTGCAGAATCCTGGCAAGGAAAAGACGCAGAGGCAGGCTGAGGCGGGGTGGTGATAGCAGAGGGCTTCATGCCAGCAAGGTGAACGGTAGGAGCTGGAGATGGAAACGTAACCGAAAAGGGAAACTTCACCACATGCACTCTGGCGGTTCTGCACTGAAGAATACCTATCTAGTCCTTACGTTTTACGACACCTGATCCTATGACTCAACCCAAGAGGAAACAACCAGGTAGGCAAATGATTCGGTCACCTTCACAGCAGGAAATCCATTTATAAATCCAACCATGAATAAGCCAAGAAAGACTGGGGTGGGCCCCACATTCAAGATTGTGATGACATACTCAGAATCACTGCACGGAGTTTAAGACACTCACACCTGGAGTGTGCAGGGAAGGGAGGACTGGGCGTCGGGGTGGGGCAGGCTGTACCCCAGCCCAGAAAGCAGGGAGTGAGCTGACAGAGCCTTCCTGGGAAGGGGCAGGGCTGGGTGGGGGTCCCTGGCTGCAGGCAGCTGGCTCACTTACCATAGTGCTGGAGCTCTCCCAGGAGTCTGTCCACATCCACGTGCAGCTGGCTGTCTACAAACCTCCGTATGAATCTGTTCCTCAGGGCTTCCTACAGGAATACAATAAAGCTTCACAACAGAGGAGCTCCATGGCCTCCTGCTTAGGGACACTTGCATCAGGCATATTCAAAAGTTTGTAACACCAGGAAAAGATACAGAGGGTGAATCCTCTGAGAAAATGTTCTAGCTGGACGTAGGCCTGTCATCCCAGCACCCTGGGAGGCTGAGGTTTAAACCCAGACTGGCAGTTCAGAAACTTAATGAGACCTTGTCACAAAAACTTTTTATAAAGAGGATTTTGGTTATGGTTCTGTGCAAAAGCCTGCCTCTTTCCCCAACACTGCAAAATAATAATAGGAAAAAGAAGAAGAAGAAGAAGAAGAAGAAGAAGAAGAAGAAGAAGAAGAAGAAGAAGAAGAAGAAGAAGAAGAAGAAGAAGAAGAAGAATATAAAGTGCTGTAAACATAGTGAAAAATATGTCAACATTTAATGAAGTCTCCCTTAAAAATCAAAAGGAACAATTATAAAAATTTAGACAAAACTGTAGTTATGCACTAGGCTTGAAAACAAAGATTGCAATAGTGATTTGCAGGAGCACCATTTTCTAATGAAGCCACATGGTGATCACTTTATGGAAAATTCCTTCATTTATGTGACCTTTCTATGAGCATCGGCCACCATGACAAACCCACTGAGGACAGATTGTCACATCCCCCACCCCTCCCACTTCCTGTTCATTTCCTGATCATCCCACCTCGCACCCTCCAGGCCTCTCTTCCTGGTCATGGTCATATTACTATGGAGAGCGCTACAGAACCACCTTCACCACCTGCATGAAATTTTGCATCTAGACTTGGCAGTCCATAGAGTTTATTCACACTGCTCTTCAACATACAAAATCTCCACATCCAAAATCTCACAAAAACCCAGAGGGAGAAACACGGATGCAGCAAACTCAGCCCTAGCACTGAGACATGGGGAGGAGCCCAGGACTTGATTGCTCCTCAGAGTAGAGCTGCGCTCTCCAGCCCCTGCCTCCCTACTGACCGGGTCACAGGGGTGCCTCGGGCAGTGATACTTTAATACCAGCACCTCCGAAATGAGTGTCTCTGTTCACACCCACACAGGACAGCTTCATCCAAACCTGCCCAAGGACCAGGACCTGCTTGGAAATCTGAGTGTTCACTGCCTCCTTCTATGGGCACTAGCTGTTTGCCAGAAAACATGCACAATAAAGTGCCCTGCATAGGAGGAGCCAAGTGTGGACTTCACTCCAAATCCAGACACAGATAGCTTCTCCTGAGCATGAGCCCAGAGCTAAGAAACAGAGTAAGAATTTATGAGCCAGGTATGGAGGTGGATGCCCATAATCCCAGCACTCTGGGAGGCTGAAGCAGGAGGATCACAGATTCAAACCAATCTCGGGCAATTTAGTGACTTAGATCTTGTTTCAAAAAAAATCTCTGGGAGTGTAACTCAATGCAAAGGCCCTTGGTTCAATCCCCAGCACCATAGAAGAAAGGCAGGGAGGCAAGGAGAGAAGAACCGGAAGAAACAGAGTAACAGTCCAGAATTTTGCATCCTCTAAAATAAGTTGTTGAGTGGTGGACTGTGAGACTCAGTAAACAGTGCTCAGCTGAACTCTGCACTTCAGGAGCTGCCGGTGTGCCCATAGCAGTCAGGGGCAACTTTCTGTCCCCACGGCCCTTTGGGTGCTGTGGAGCTGGGGCTGGAGTGCTCATGCCATCATTCACAGATGGAGGAGGGACGTCCCCACACCTGACCCCTCCACATCTGGACACTGCTGGAGGTCGCTGGTCTCTGCGTTAATGAAGCAGCCCCGGGAGACACATGAGAGAAAGATGGAGTGGAAGTTCAGACAGCACTGCAGCCATCGCCATGAGAATGAGCACGGAAGTCCTCAGCCACGAGGACCAGAGGGACCAGGGCCATGGTTGCCTGTAGAGTGCGTGCTATCCTGAGGCCTCCTGCCCAGGCCAGGTCCTGCTCCTGGTTACTCCGCTGATTGGGGACTCTGGCTGCTGACCGACTCCTGCTCATGACTCCTGCATAGCTGGCCCTTTGTCCCCCAACTGCCTGCCTGGGCAGCATGCAGCCACTTCACCTCCCTCCTGTGGCCTTGCTCTGGTCAGGGTGACCTCCCCTGGCCTGTCCCCACTATTCCTTCACTGTAACAGCTGCACCCCCTGATAAAATGCAGAGGCATCTCTGCTTCAGGGGAACCCGGAATCATTCAGGGGCATCTGCACTGAAAACCCCATTCTGAATGATTCCCACCATGCAACTCACTTCATCTCCCAGTTACCAAGACTTCCTGGTTGTGCAAGAAGAAGCCCAAGGCGCAGAGAGGTTCAGTGACCAGCTCAAGGTCACACAGCAGGTGGTGTGCAGAGGAACTTGGAGTCAAACCCAGGTGGTCTAAAGCTCAAGTCCATGACCCCAAATGTTTGTCAATAAATCAATATTTGGCAATAAATAATGGGATATGAACAAAAACACAAGACTGTTTTCTCATTTTATCAGCTAGAAATTTAACTAGGGTTTCCCAGTGTCCCTAAAGATTGGAGGTAAACTACCCTGAGCTAATATTTTACAATTAATGACCAGCTGGCTCTGAAGCAGCCAAGCATTTTAAACCTCAGTCCATTTACTTTGCCAAACTTAGAGTCTTAGGAAATAATTATTAATCACAATAGCAGATTTACAACTAAGAAGAATGGAAACTATCTTAAAAAGCATTACATTTAATGTGGAACTTTATGTGCAGGTCAGGATCAACCAATGTCACAGTGGTGCCGTCTTGCTTGTGGCAAAAGTCTATAAACCACCCAACTTTATGTCAACCACACTCACTGGCTGGGATCTCCTCAGGCTGCACCCACCTGCAGCTGGAAGAGCATCTGTCCACTTCCGCTTCCCTGGAAAAGGCTGAGGGTCTTCAGCAATGTTTCTGATAAAGTTTTCAACTTGTTCACAAAATAGAAAGTGTGATTAGCCTGCAAAAGACAGCACATTCAGGTGAGCGTCTTGTTTGGCTGGTGCACTGGATGGATCTCCAGTCCCGTAGCATCTCCGAGACCCCCGAGCACCCTAGATGAGTCATCTGCAGAGGGCAGATCCGCCATGACCCCTGCAGCTGGACAGCAGCTCACTGCACAGCACACACCCCTGGGCGTCCTCAGGAGTGAGCCTCCTGGTGAAACCTGTGTCTCCAGTGCATCCTAACAAAAGCAGCAGCACACACCTGTGTTCCCTCCCACAAACACATCCCCAACGCGTGCCTATGCATCTGATCTACAGTAGCCAGTGCCAGGGGACAGAGGAAAACTGGAGTGTCTGTCCTTCATTGTGGCTGGCAGTGTACCGGTTGTAAGACTTCCATAAAATGATTTGGTATCATAAAATACACACAGTCACAGACCTGTAAATCTGCACGTGCCCCTCCCTCTCAAGATAAAAAGACCCCATGCTAATGAAATCATCTCAGTGAGATAGGAGGCTGCAGCCAGGAAGATGTCAATCACAGCTCTGTTACGTTTCAGACTGAACAGAGGCCAAAGAGACAGTGCCAAGGAGGACCTGAGACTCCAGCTGCATATGCCAGGTTCCCCAGCAGGGGACCTCTCGCTGCCACGGACCCTGGAGAGCAGCCGCTAGGGCAAGCAGGGGCAGCTGTCTGCCCCCGGCGTTGGCCTCCCAGGGAAGCAGGGCTAGGACGACTGGGACTGCAGAGATGAAGGAACCTTTCAGTGTCTTAGCACCCGCCACATGCAAAATTTTCTGTAAGCAATAAATGCCACCATGCTGGTCAAAAATGCACAGGGGACGTGCAGAGGCTGGATGCTGTTATTAATGCTGTGGGCTTCAGAGATTTATAGAAACTTTAGTCATACATCAAGGAATGCACACTCACACACACATTTGTCTCTGTTAACAAACGGGATTCACACAGCAAGTTATTAAAACTTGAGGTATTCTAAGTTATTTTATATATGCACTCACTATACAACTGCCCAACAAAAATTCACTGAAACTAAGGTACTAGGACAAATATCAGTAAAATATCAAAACTTATCAACTACTTGATATATACTATGAATATTAAAGATTTGTAACAAAAGTTTGTGTAAAAATTCTTAGATTAATAAACCAACTTTAGTAAGTGGCTATGGTGTGGCAGGCTGCAGCAACCCCAGGGGAAGAACCAGCAGCGTCTCCTGAGATCCATGCCATGTTGGAACATAGGGAACTGGGAAACCAAGCAAGCAGCTCACCTCCTGGTAAGCAGCTGTGGTGTGGTAGGCTTCAGCCCCTTCAGGGGGAGAACCATCAATGTCTCCTGAGATCCACACCATGTTCGAACTTAGAACGCTGGGAAACCAAGCAATCAGCCTGCCTCCCTGTTAAGCAATAGTGAGCCTACTGGTGCACAGGCTTAGAGTCAAACATGCCACTTCCCCTGCTCCCCTTAGCAAATGGGAACCAGAAATCCGAGCATCGCTTGGGAGGCTGACCATATGCAATATAGCAAATAAGGGGGATTTCCTTCTACCATCTTTTTGAAAGCAAATATTTTTACTACTATTTTGCTTTATTCTGATTAAAGGTACTGTTGTATTCAATATTATGTTTTGATAAGTTCTATAATGTTCTGTACTTCATTTTATTTTGCTATACTTGATTGAAAGGACAACTATTGTGATGACAATGAGATATACTGTGATACCTATTGCTGTTATCCTGGCAACCTGCTATGAAAGTGGAGGAGTGTTTGTGTATTTAAATGCGGGGCAGGTAGCCTGTCCTAAGCAGAAGTGAGGTCCTTGCCCTTGACTCAGAGTGATAAAATGTCAGTGTCAATAGATGGTGAAAATTTACCTGGGTAACCACTACTGAGAACATCATATAAAGACATGCACCCAAACTCACTGCAAAGAAACCATTTTTTAGAATTGGGATCTAAAAATCAGTTTTTAGGACTGGCCAGGTGTGATGGCACATGCCTGCAATCCCAGCCCTCAGGAGGCTGAGGCAGGAGGTTCACTGTGAGTTCGTGGCCAGCCTGGGCTACAAAGTAAGTTCAAAGCAGCATGAACTACATAGAGAGACCCTATCTCAAAAAGAAAAATTAAAAAAGAAAAGAGGGCTGAGAAGGCTAAGAAATGTTGAGTGACCCACAGGACGGGAAAAAAACCCAGAACCCTGGAGTCAAGTGTGAGGAGCAATCCAGACATGACAGATGTGTGAATGCTTAAATACAGGGCAGTGCATATGGGCTCTGGGAGGTTATTATGCAAACAAGACGAGTGAATCCCTGATGTTTGCTCACGAGGGGCCAATCCCTAGGAAACAACGTCCGGGGAAACTTTAGTGCCGAGCAGTGACACACTCACCATCCTATCTACTCTGTTAAAACAATTTTAGGTTTACCAGAGGCAAAGACACAGAGCATCCAAGGTACACTTAGAGGAGGAGAAGGAACAGGGCTGTTTTCCACTGCCTAGAGCCCAGAGCTGGGAGCAGGTGTAGGAAGTTACTTTTATACCACATGTCAGGTAGGGTGGGGCTCTGCTGTGAGCGCCTGGAGCTTTACATACACATGGGGCCAGACTGGAAGCAGGAATGGTTGGGGTGCGGCTTGCACTGCACCGCTGCTACACCTGTGGTCAGCAAGCCTGCTCACAGAGGATGGAGGCCTGGGGACCAGTGACACATGGGGTACTGATACACTTTGAACATGGAAGTTCGTCTCCAGGGTAACAATGCTGAAATGGTGGTGGTGGGGGGGGGGCAGATTAGTGGTTCTCAGAGTCCAGGGATGGCAGGATATGCTCCAAAGACCCCTTGGTGATGGGGCTTCCTGGGGATAAACGCAGGCATCTGCATAGGTGAAGAGACTCCGTGAAACTAACTACTGTACACACACACACACACACACACACACACACACACACACACACAGGTACAGTGGAGCTGAGAAGCCTGAGTAAGGTCAGTGAACCCCACAGATGTCACCGATGGTGCCCATGGTGCCATAGGAAACCCACTAGGGTGTGGCTAGGATCTTATCTCTTACAAATGCATACAAATCTACCATCACTTCAAGATCAAATGTTACCTTTTTAACAGGATGCAGGAGCCGAATTGAAGAGATGCCCACTGACTACACATAGGGTCACTGGAGCCTAAAAGGGAAAGACTGCAAGGGACTGAAATGCCTCCAACACTGAAACTTGTGAGTTTGTACTCTAATCGATTGCCTTCCCATGATGATCGGAAACTGAGGAGACTCGCAGCCTGAAGCCCGATCGCTAAGCGGGTTATGATTTTCAGCTGTCCCTTGATGAATCTCACCTGCTTTCCTCTCATTAGAAGGCACAACTCGTGCCTGGTTTTCTGGCACTGCCAGAGGGGCTGTGTCCTCCCAAACCTGAGCAGCAAGCAGTGGGGTGGGGGAGGTCTGTGCCCCTGTGATGACTGGGGAGGGTGGCAGGGGGCGAGGTGGAATTCCAGGGAGGCTAAGCCTGGCAGGTGCTGCCGTCCTCAAGGTTTGGGAGGGGAGGGGTCCAGGCATTGCAGCTCAGAAGGCCTTAGATTCTATGGTTAGGGGAAGTTCACGGGGACACTGCACGGTCAACAAACAAGCACAGGACACTTTCTGTGGTACTGGAGGCCAAAAGCAGAAACTCATAGCGACAGGAGTCTGGGGTCTTCTGGCGCTCAATTTCCCCTTTCCATCTACAGCCCGCCTGCTTACTAACTGCTGACTTTGGAAAGCAGCCTGTTTCTACCTCACTTGCAGTCACTCTTTGACTCAAAATATAGAGGGAAAAATCAAAAGGTGCCTGGCTGCAAGCATGGGATATTCACTCTGGGTCCACTTTGCTGCTGCTGCTGTGTTGAATCCATGACGTTCTTAACTGAATCACCCTCTCCCTTCTCACTCCGTGTCTATGCTATGCTTCAGGGGGATTGAGCCAGAGGAGTTTTGTGTTTGGAAACGGGATCTACTCAAAGTAAAGAAAAGCGATCAATTTCTTTCCCAGTTTGGTTAGACCAGTAAGGGCAAAACCCAGGGAGGGAGAAGCCCCACTTCCCCTCCACCCGTTTCATGGTAGAAAGAGCTAGCTTCGCCATTGTGTGTGGGTGCATGGGTGGCCGGATACCTGGGCAGATGGGTGCGGGAAGAGAGCCGCAAGGACAGCTGGTTGGGTGCACGGGTGAGAGGAGGAGAAGAAGGGCGTTCTCTAGTCCCAGAAGCAAAAGGGGCCTCACCGGAGGCCTGAACCTTGACCCGTGCAGACGACCAATGCGGCCGGGTGGGGCAGCGCTGGGAACACAGCCCGTACAGCCGGCACCAGAGCTGTGCTCCAGCACAGCTCCAGCACCCTGAGTCCTCTGCCCTACACGTGAGGCTGGTTCAACAGAAGGAGACAGGGCAGAGGCCTCCTGGGACTCTAGTGTGGGTGTAGTTTCTGCTGTCTCTGCCAACTCCAGGCTTCCAAAGGTGGGTGCGGTGACCTTCTCCTTTCCTGCTGTCTCCCAGGAACCCAATTCCAAGCAGCATCCCCTTCCTGGGTCCCTGAGGTGGTGCCAACCTTCACAGGAACAGGTGTGCACAGATGCTGGGATGCTGCTTCTGTTCACTCCTGTACCGACTTCCTTCCCCATCTCACCTGGAATTCACCTTGGAAAGCAGTCTCGATCTAACGCATTCTTTTTAATGATGTATAAATTTTTCATCATATAGATGTACCAAAATTTAATTATTTCCCTGCCAATGGCTAGGCTGTTTCCCAGTCCTAGAACTTACAGATAATGACAATAAGCTAGGCATAGTCATGCACACCTGTAATCCCAGCGCTCAGGAGGCTGAGGCAGGAGGATCATTGTAAGTTTGAGACCAGCCTGGGCTACAAAGTGAGCTCAAAGACAGCTTGAACTGCACAGTGAGATCATGTCTCAAAAGGATAATAATAATAATAATAATAATATGACAGCAAACACTCATTTTCATGTGTGGTTATGTCTCTGTCATCCTGATATTTGCAACGGGTTTCAGAGACCATACAGAATCCTCCCACCAGCAACGAGTGAAAGCACCATGCTCCTAACACCATCAACAATACGTCCAATCTGGGGACCTTAGCACTCAGTGTTTTACCTGTCAGGGCCGCCTTCTTCTGGAAATGTGCATCTATCTTTTCCCCCTGCAACCACCATGAAGGAAAAATCTCCAACGTTCGGTGTCATCCAGCCAGGTGTCACCAGCAGCCTCTTACAGGTTGTGTGCTGCTGACTCTGCAGGTGATGTCAGTGGGTGAGAGCCCATCCTGGAGTTCAAGGGACTCAAATGCTACACACTGTGTATGTCCAGGTGGCTGAGAAGGCAGAAACCTGAGCCACAGTGGCAGGCGAGGGAGGCCAGATCTACCTGTCCTGAGATACACACTTCCGGCACTGACCCTGAGCCTCGCAGGGCTGCCCTTGGCTGAAGCACAGGAAATGACTGACATCCATGGATTCTTTTTCTCTAAGAAGCGGTAACTTCATAGGGTTGCACCCACTGGGAAATTATGGAGAGATTCAGACCAAGGTACAAATACAGCCACACCTCACAGGGTAGGTGGGGAGCCTTCCTGGAACATCAACCACCCGCTACTTCACCCCAGAACCCACACACACCCAGGCAGAGAGGGTCAGTCCACAGTGAGGGAGTCACAACTCTCGGGGTAGAGGAGGCTGCAGCTGGTGTGGTCCTCAGTGTGGTACCTGTCAGGGCCACCTTCTTCTGGAGATTTGCATTTCTGTTATCATGAATAAATCAGCGCATCATTTCTCTTGCTAAGTTGCTAAGTTGCCCAGGCTGCAATCTTCCTGCCTCAGCCTCCCAGAGTGCCAGGTCACAGACGAATGCCATCATGCCTGGCATAGACAACGCTTTTGAGTCAAAATAAAGACAGGTGTGGTGCTGTGTGCCTATAATCCACCCACTTTGTGTCATTGAGGCTGGGCTCCAGGTCCAGCCCAACCTGACCAGTTTAGCAACTCCCTGACGCCTTCCTTCAAGACTGAGAACAAAATGAAGCATGGTCTCTCCCATATGGGAAACGCAAGGCAGAAGTGATTTAACCAGCAAAATAAAAGAGAGGCCACAGGAAGTAGTGAGAGAGAGCTTTCCCACAGGGGAAAGGGGGCCAGGAGCTGGTGGAGTGGGCAGGGAGGAAGTCAAGGGAAGCCAGAGATCTAAGCCGTGCTATGAGCAGCTCCACAGGAAGACGGTATGTCTGCAACCTTGAACTAATAAGTGACTTTGGGACTCAAGGGAGGAAAGATATGAAAAAAATTAAGAAAGAAATAGAAGAGAGGCATGCACCACAGAATGATCCTAAAAATACAGCACACCGAAGACATAAGCAGTGACATCAATGCTTACTATCCTTACAGGGAGATGCAGTGCTCACAGTGGTCTGTGCTGTATTTTTACACAGCTGGCAGCCTCCCCACAAACACAAGTGATGTGCTGTGTGTGCTGTGACTTTATGACCACCACACTGTCATTGGGTGCTGGGACATTTTCGGCTCCCCTATACCCTGACGAGACCATCACAGTCTGTGTGGACCACTCCTGACTGGAGAGCCGTTACGCACCATGTGACTGTAACACACAGCATCAGCCACTCCGAGAAGGCAGATGGCGCTCCTCACAGGTGCAAGGGACACAGCCAGTGTCTCCCTACTGTGAGGGACTCAAGACTGTGTGACCCAGCCCCAGGACCAATCTTCATAAAACTGAATGGCCACAGCCGACTGCTGGAATAAATCACCCAGGTAGGATGCTGTAAAGCCAGGGCTGGCTGGGCAAACCCAGGACAGCATGTGTCACATAAGTGCAAAAGCAGTCATTATGGCTTAGATATAAAAGATCCCCAAAGCCTCCTGCAGATAGGAGTGCCTGGACCATGGGGTGCTATGCTACCCACCGGATTCACCCATTGAGGCGGTCCCTGGGTGTGACCTGGAAGGGTGCATCCTAGTTCCCGGGTCCCCACTTCCCTCCCCGCCCCTGGCTGCCACAGGCTGAGCCTCTTTCCTCCCCTGTGTCCTGTGTGTCTTGGAGCAGCCAGCCATGGACAGAAGCTGTGAGCCACAGTGATGCTCTCCTCCTCTAAATCATGGTGCTGAAAGCAATGGAAGCAGCGTTCCTTTTACTCAGGTCTCTGAATCTGACACGGCCTTTGCGAGGAGCAGAGAGATCTTTGCTCCTCCTCCCCAGCTTCTCTTTACTCTCGGAACAGGCACTCAGGATGTGTCCCCTCCCGGCACCTCTGCCCAGGCCACGCCTGGGAGACGAGTGCTCCCTGTCCTGCCTGCCCCAGAGGGGCTCTCTCTCGCTGCATCACATCTGAATTATTTCTCCTCTGTGCCCTTCCTCCTCCTCACTGCTAGGTGGGCAAAGCAGAGACCGCCATGCTGATTTTTGTATTAAGGAAAACAGTATAGGTGGCGGCCTTTACAAATGCATTATTAATAATAATATTAACATAAACCAGGTGTGGTGGTGCCCCCCTATATTCCCAGTACCCAGGAAGCTGAGGCAGGAGAACTGCTGTGAATCTGAGGCCACCCAGGGTACACGGTGAGTTTAGGCTGGTCTGAACTACATAGTGAGGCCCTGTCTTAAAATAATACAGTAATATTGTTATAAAACTATAAAAATTGATCTCTCAAAATTTTAACTGTAAGACCAAGCAGTGATACAGAGCTGTTTTCTATAAATCTACCCAGGGCTCTGATAAGCTCACTGTCCCACGGGACCACACCATGCCAGCTTTGGCCCCAGTGCTGGCCTGGTGTCTGCCCATAAGATAGCCACGGAACAGGGACTTCAAAAGTAGAGCTCTCTCCAGATGTAACTCAGAAATACTGTAATCCAGAATCAAGGTAATCAGCCCTAACCAGGCATAGTGGTGCTGGCCTATAATCACAGCACTTGGGAGGCTGAGTCAGGAGGATCATTGCATGCCTGAGGCCAGCTTGGGCTACAAAGTGAGCCCAAGGCCAGCCTGAACTGCACATTGAGACTTTGTCTCAGAAAGACAAAGTGAAGATAATCATCCCTCTGTTGTGAGAGGCCAGATTTTTGACAATACTCCTCCAAAAGGCCATTTTCAAGTCTCAAAACTAAAATGTTAAAACTGCAATTCAGAACAGGGGTTACGCAGTCCCTAAGCAAGACCACAGGGTGAGAATGCTCTTGGGAACTTTGCTGTGACCTCACCCAGCCATCACAAGAGCAGGAAACTGAGACTCACAACAGTGAATTGGATCAGAAATAACTAACCCTTCCTGCTATCACAAGGCACTTTCAAGATTTTAAATCATTAACACAATTTGAAAGCAGAAAGCTTATCATTAATGGAATGAGTATCTCCTCTTCTACACCTGACAGAAGGTCAAATGGTTCCCGAGTCCTTGGAGAAATGTCCCCTTTCCAGGTCCTTGAAGGCTCACCAGCCATCCACCAGGAGACAAGAAGACCCAGGGATAACACAGTGAAATCATTTAAAAAGACAACAGAAAAGACAAGTCTTCCGCACAGCACAATTGTCTAAAAAAGAATCCGCAAATTTGAATAATAGCTGATCCTGTAGGAGAAAACAGATTTAAGAAGTTAATGAACTACAGGCAAAACCTCACCATATGAAATCTCTTAAACACCGGATGCATCTTGGGAAACACAATGACTTTTGTATGACCCTCTGCTCAGCCTGAAACCTCTTCCTTCACAACTCCCCCAGTGCCCAGTACTGGTTCTGAGCGTTCCTTGTGATTGCAGTAACACCCGCACCCCAACAGTCCTCTGAGCAAAGGGCTCAGCATGCCCACAATAACAGAGAAATCCCAAAATGAATTCTAGTCAAGATAAGAAAAGCTCATGGAACTCAAGGGATATGATAACGATGTTAGACTTTAGAAGATCCCTCCCCGGTACTGTGCGTGTGTGATGTGAGATTCTCATTCCTCCCAGCTTACCTTGCGGATGACCTTGTTAATCGCCGGGATGTCGGGTGTATAGAGGATTTCTCCGTGTAATACGGGTTTCAGGAAGGACCACACTAAGGCACCATTTGGAGACTGCAGAATTTCCTCATAGAGCTTCAAGCAAAATGGTGCTGTCGATGTTAAAAAGAGAACATTGTTACAGCCTACAGAGTGACAGGGCAGGACCAGGGTGAGGAGACACTCAAGGACACACCCACATCATCCGCATTTTCAAGGAATGATTGACATGTTTTCAGACACAGGTGTTGTGACCGAGCACTGAACTCAACGCGGGAGCAAACCTGGAATATCTTCCTCGGCCCTGGTTCTGAGGCTCTCATCTCCTAAGAGACTTTGGGGCTGTGTTCACCTCAATGACTCTGGACAAGAGGTGCCAGAGTGCATCCCTTCCCTTTGCTCAGAGGACTGTTGGGGAGCGGGTGTTACTACAATCACAGGGAAGGCTCAGAGCGGATACTGAGCACCGGGGGAGTTGTGAAGGAAGAGGTTTCAGGCTGAGCAGAGGGTCATACTTGAAGTCACTTGAGATGAGGAAGATGTGAGAATGGTAATGACTAAGAAGTAAACCTGCTCCATCACTGAGGAGATTTTTCACTTCACACCCATGATATTGAGAACAGAACTCAATTTCCCCGCAGAGTCCCCTTTCAAGCTGCTCCTACATCTCCTTGACTGCCTCTGTGCAGAACTAGCAAATGTGTCACCCTGGATGCACCAGATCACCTTACGTTCACCAAGAATTCTTCACCTGGCTTTCATTATTGTGAGGTCGGCTGATACCAATTAAATGGTCTAAATCAGTCACCATAACCCTATCAGCCAGTTGTTTGTTATCACTGAAAGACTTGCCATCGTGGCCTAAAGGAACTGGTAATGCATCACCACAGTGATTAAAAATGACATAAGGCTTATAATACAAGGCTTTAAGCGAACCACAGGTGTATCAGTCTAAGGAGTCCTTTTACCCACAAAGGGAATATTTTACACGGAAATATTACCTTAGCTTTAATATTATGACTCACAATATCCAATGTATGGGAAGTACCGATTTGATCATTTGTGTTAATTTCTCCCTCCCAAATTCTCCACTTGGACAAAAAAAAGAATTCTGATTACAGTAAATCCATAGAAATAATCCTCTAAAATATAAATTAAGCATGACTACATTTTTATGCATTTTTCATAGAAGTTGCACTATACTGTAACAGTTTATTCTTCAGATTGAAAGCTTAATACAGACAAAGGCAATTTTTATGTAGGAAAATAGGCGATCGTGGTATGCGCAGAACAAGAAACGTGAATCCAGGAATCCGCAGGTCTACCCTTTGTGAAGCAAGTGAACCTGGGCAGGTGACGTGACAGTCCCCAATCTCCCAACACACCCTTGGAAAGTGGGGGGCTGGTGTTGCCTAATAGTTTCTGTGACAGACAACTGAAATGAATCTATGAAAGGACCAACAAAGATGGTCTTCAGTGTCAGTTGGATGATTGGATGGGTGCGTATTTGCACGGAGGGATGGATGGATGGATAGATGGATAGATGGGCAGAGGATAGATAGATGGAGGGATGGAGATGGACAGATGCATGGATGGATGACTGGAAACTGCCCAGTATAAACACTGGAAATGAGCACTACCAAATTACCCAGTGTTCTCAGCTGGCCACATCACCCTTAGCTGAGCAGCACATGGAGCTGCCACCTCTGCAGCAGGACGTAGCATCTGACTCCACTTCCTGCACCTCCGAGCTACACAATCCCAGGCTCCTGTTCCCAGCTATACCTACTTCCACCCTCAGTCCTGCTGTTGGCACAAGCAGGTGGAACTGAGCCCTGGGTGTGGTGGGCCGAGTTTTAAGATGAGCCCAGATCTTGTGTATTTTGTTTTTGAGGAAGGGCAGAACCTGAGTATGTGGCAAATGCTACACCCAGGACTGGATCTCACAGCCCAGGAGAAAGAATTATGAAACCATAGAGAAAGTCCCTCAGCCTATTGACTTGGGAACTCACATGAGGGCTGAACAACCAGCTGGCCTTTAGAAGAGACAGAAAGCTGCAGGGCGGGGTAAGCCCTGCTGGCCTTCTCGCCATCTCCATCAGTTCCAGGGCTCCAAGGAAAAGACTCTGACCAGCAGCCCCAGAGAGCCTCAGATGTGAGCCCAGCTGGCCACTGCCTTGTCACTGCTGTGTGAGATCCTGGCAGGGGAGCTGCTGGCCAGTGCCTGGGAGCTATGCTGTGGAAGCCACGAGATAGTACTGTCCCCAGCCACTGAGTAAGTGGACATGTGCTGTGCAGCAGGGGATGCCTTTAAAGCACTGTGTGAGGCAGCTAAGACACAGTCTCTCCATTATTCCCCATGACAGCCTTGTGGGGTAGGGACTGTCCCTGTGCTACAGATGAGAACAACATGAGATGTAAGACAACAGGTGCACTGGCTCTACACTGGAGAGGTGAACACTCAGGACACCAAGTCCTTGATTTCACATTCAGTCTGTCTTTCTAATGAAATGGGTTCTCTTAACTGGGGATGTGTCTCAGTGCAGATCGCCTGCCTGACAGGTGGGTGGCCTGGGGTTCCATCCCCAGAATCACGATAGATAGACCATGGATGGATGGATGGATAGATAGATGCTAGATGGATGAATGCTAGATGATGGATAGATAGATGGATGTATGGATGGATGATGGATGGGTGGATGCTAGATGGATGGATGAATGATGGATGTATGTATGTATGGATGGATGATGGATGGATGCTAGATGGATTAATGGATAGATGATGGGTGGATGGATGGATAGATGATGGATGGATGGATGAATGATGGATGGATAGATACATAGAAATGTTTTCATTTAAAGTGGGATTATGAACTCAGTCATTAATCTGCTTTTATTTGAAATGGAGCTTTGTAGACTGCAGATTCATAGGAAATCACATTCACATAAATGGCTTTGGGTGATAGAGCCATTTGCCAAAGCCAAAATGGTGACTGTGATCTTTATCTGTGGTCTGTGGACCAATACTGCTCACCTCAGGGTACCCAAGGACCCAAGACATTGGTGTAACAGATGTTTTAACTCAGTTCCTTGGTGACATGGGTGACAGGATTAGCTGTGCTCAAGGGCACTGGGACCTTCCAAAGCCGACAACTGCACCAGCATCTAGTGACCATTCTAAAGAAGAAGGACACAATTCTATACCAGTGGGTACCACCAGCCTACTGCACAGAGCATTTTATAAAGAGCAGAGCTAATTCTCAGTATGCAAATTAACTCAAAGGATCACTGTTCTTACTGGAATCAGCAGGGATGTTGAATTTTTCCTTGTCGTCTTCCAAGAGTTGTTCAACACTGGGCAAATTCAGGAAAGAGCTCGAACTGCTGGGGAAAGATGCTTGGTCCTGGCAGACCACGCTCATCACAGACTGGAAAGAACCAAAAGCTGAGTTTCGGGCCAGGCCCTGTGGTGAAGCCTGAGAAGGTGAGAAACAGCCCTGTTATCACACAGGGACCTACAAGGGTCCTCTCACAGCACTCCGGAAGCAGGGCTTTTCTGATCCTGTACGCTTGTCCAATGAGTGGAGGGACAGAGGCCCTGTTTTGGTCCCTTTAGTCCTGGAGACATCATTCATGTCACTGCCATGGTTCCTGCACATCACACACACACACACACACATGCACACACACGTGCACCACACACACACACACACACACACACACACACACACACACACACAGCAGCGAGCCCTTGCTGTTTGCCAAGTAACAAATTATCAATCCACAGAACATAACAAACTCAAGCTAATTAGGGTCCTAATCTGTGTGCACCGTGCCCAGGTACCCTGGTCCCTGATCGATCCCCAGATTCCCACCAGCTACCTCTGTGCAGCCCCACAGGCCATGCTGTCTCCACTCCTCACTCCCCACCTCCACCTCTGCATGACCTTGCAGTCATTCTGGTCCACTCCTGGCCAGTCCGGCCCCACACAAAGAGACTTCAAACACAAACCTAATATCATGCCCCAAACCTAATCCAAGCTTCTATTTGCATTTGCCAAAAATGATCTGCAATTTGAAAGCCCATTATTTACATGTAAATAAATGTCTTAAGGTGTTGAGAGCAATTTGCTCTCTGAATGAAGTCAAACAGGTCCTTGAAATCTCTTTGGTGTGAATAATCCAGTCAGCTGTTTCTTACATCCTAGACAGAGCTCAAAGGACCCTAGTGTGCACCTGACTGTGTTCCCCTCCATCCAGCTTCTAGGGCAGTGCCAGGCCTTCCTCTGCCACATCAGTGCCTCCAGGGACATAAAATTGTTTTCCCATCCCTGTATTTTGTTGTCCTATACAAAACTTAGATGTTGGAAGGGAAATCAAGGCAAAAGGACAAAATACAAAGAAAGAGCAAATTGGTCCTCCTCCCCAGAGGCCAAAGATCAGGTACACACCTGCCCAAGGTCCGCTGCCTCCAGCAGGACGTCAATCTTAAAGGCCTGAAGAAATCCAGGAAAGAGTCTGAGGACGCGTTGGGCTTTCATAAGCACAGAGCTGAGGCTGGACACCACCTCCAGCAGGCCGCTGAGCAGGCCACGGGCATCGGGCGGGATCAGGGCCTTACAGGGTGACAGAAACAAACACACAAGCACACGCATGGCAGGAGAGTACCAGCACCGCATCTCCACCCTCACAAGCACTGCTGAGCCGAGAAAACCTGCTCTTTGATTTTATTCTCTCAGATTTGCAGACATCTTCACTATACTCTGTAATAATCTCTCCATGAGAACAGATACAACTCCACCTCTAGCCTCTAGCACTTGTTAGATTCAACTGGCATTGTTAAAATGTAAACCAGAAATGAAAGGGCCCTGCAGTTAAAATTTAAGTCACTTCAAGATAACTTTCTGTATCTTACAGTTGACCTTGATGGTTGAGCAGAGCTTCCAAGTAAAACACCGCTTTTATGTCAGCAACTTGGATTTGTCTACTGCTGCACTGCATGTGTGAGCCAGGCCATCCTGGTCCTCCTGATCCATTGAGCTGCCCAGGCAATCCTCACTCTGTGGACGGGGAAACTGAGGCCCAGAAGATGAAAAGCTCCAGTGGTCTAGACTGGGCTGGAAAGGCTCAGGGCAGAGATGAACACAGCGCCGCTTGTGCTGTACCTCCAGATGCTCGAACCTCTTGCTTGGATCTTCATGTTCCTGGTGCTGGACCATAAATTCCACAGAGGCAGGGGCCTGCCTGTCTTGGTCACCAAAGTGGGTGCCAGCTATAGCACAGGACCCGGCCACGGCAGTTGCACAATGAGCACTTGTTGGTTGAATGAACTAGCAACCTTCCCCTCCTCCCATCAGGAGGAAAACAGAGCAGCACCCTCCCTGCCCATGCCATCTGCCCATGGAATTTTCCATTTTCCAGACCCAGGTGAGATGGCCAGTGATCATGGCTCTTATTTTTGCTCATTAGAGTATTTCCTCTTGAGGCATGTGTGTGTATGTGTGTGTGTGTGTGTGTGTGTGTGTGTGTGTGTGTGTGTGTAAGCTTTTTCTGACCTTCACCCCTAGGTTCTTGGAGGGAAGGAAGGAGGCCATGGATGGTGGCTCAGCAAAGCCACTCTTCCCCGACCCCAAGACCTTCCGGGGACAGGGCGGGCCCACTGCCACCTTCCCATGCCATAGCCCAGATGCTGTGAAATGTGTCCCTAAGGAGGACCCAGGGCCAGACCATTCCCAGAGGGCAGGGAATGAGGCTGCCAGAGGCAGGTGAAGATTCAAATAGGAGAGACAGGAAGGAGGGACCATGGAGGAGGGGCCTTGTGAAAGCCAGAGAGAATGCTGGGAGCTGGGCTTCTCCAAGGGCCTCTGGGATGTGTGCTCACGTTCCCCCTCCCTCTCTCTCGTCCAGACCTCTCCCTGCATGGGATGCTGTAGGACGGTGACCTGGGGATGTGCCCAGTGTCTCCCTCCTCATGCCCCACAGAGCTGGACACAAGGAGACAGAGGCCACTTCCCAGGTACAACCAAGGTGTGGGCCTTAGGGGCAGGGACAGCTCCGGCCTCACAGCTCCAGGAGGAATCAAGCCCTCCAATGAGGGACCTAGGATGCTGGGTCTGGGTGCATGTGGCCACTGCCCCCTTGTCATGCTCATGCTAGTGCTCGCCATCCCTGCTGGGGCCCTGAATGGCCTCTTTTGACAGAGCCCAACAGTCCCAGCCTCAGAGTCAGCAAGGGTGCAGAGAGAGCTCCCCAAGACCGCCAGAGTCCTGCACTGTGAAGTTCATGGCAGCTGGCACAGCAGCCGTGCCATGCCAGGCACTCAGCCAACCCAGAGAGGGGAAATATGTCTTTAAAAAACTCTCTGCATCAGGCATGGTGGTGCACACCTGTCATCTCAGAACTCTGGGAGGCTGAGGCAGGAGGATCACAAGTTGGAGCTCAGCCTGAACATCTTAGTGATACAGCCAGAATCTATTACAAAGTAAAAAAAAAAAAAAAAAAAAAAAAACAAAAACAAAAACAAAAACAAAACAAAAAAAAAACATTAAAAGGCTAGGGACATAGCTCATAGCAAAGGTCTGGTACCACAAAATAAATCACCATCTGTGCCGAACATATAGATACCTGGGGGTTTACAGACACTCTTCTCTAAAAAACACAGTATGATAACAATCAGCCTGGCATGTTCTAGGTTTTAGTGTGACCGACAATCTAGAGATAATTTAAAGTCCATGGGAAGATGTGCACAGGTGATACACAGACACCAGCCCATGTTGGATAAGGACCTGAGCACCCCCCAGTTTGGGTACCTAAGTGGAGTCCCAGAACATGTCCCCTCATCTATGGAGGAGGAGGACAACTGCCTGGCCCTAGGCTCCCCTTGGCAAGGCCATGAAGCAGCTCCTCAGCCACAGCCTTGTGCCGTAGGGGCCCCCGCGTCCCCTCACCTTGTAGACAAACGTGCGCAGATCCAGGTTCCGGCTGAGGACCATGATCAGAGTAAACACTTCAGACCCGGGCAGCCCACAGAGCTCTACTACTGCAGCATCAGCCTGCTGGTCCTCGGGAAAGGTCAGCAGGAGGCTGAGGAGTTCCCGGTCACACTTTCCAGACAAAGCCACCATGAGGGCACTGGGGAGCACCTGCATCCAAACATGGGGATCAGTGTGAACACCCTTGGGGCCTTGAGTGTGTCAGCCCTGGCCTTGCTCCCTGGAGGATGAAGAGTCCTGCTCCACATGAGAGGAAGACACATGCGCAGCCTGTGCCCCTCAGCTTCCTGTCACTGTGACTGAGTCCTCAGGTAAACAAGGACAGGGGCAAGGTCATCCTGGCTCAGGGCTTTGGATGGCTCAGTCCATGGTTGCAGGGCCACTGACTCTGGGCTGTGGTGAGACAAAGTGTGCTGCAAGCAGATGGGGGCTCTGGGAGAGGGTGGGGTGACAGCATGGTGGGGTTGCTATCCCTGTGACCCCTTCAAAGGCACCAGCACCCCAGTAACCCAATCTTCCCCAGCCAGGCTCTCCTCCTCAAGGCTCAGCACCTCCTCATAGCATGAAGACTGGGGCCAAGCCTTAGCACAGGGCAACTGGGGTACATTCAGGTCCAGGCCGCACACAGCCCAGGTCAACTCTCCTACGGTCAGATCCAGATGGGCCTCAGGAGTCTCAGGTGCAGAGGTGTTGGGTTTGGGAAGGCAATGGGATTGGGGAGGCACTTAATGCAGCTGAATGTGCTGTTAGGCGGTGAGGTTTGGCGGAGAAGAGGTGGTCACTGGGGCATGCCCTGGAGGTGCATCTCCCTCCCTGCTCCCTCCTTTCTCCCTGTTTTCAGGCCGTCTTGGTGTGAGCTGCTCTCCTATGCCAGGCCCTCGCTAAGCTGCCTCTGCATGGGACAGGCTGACCGTGGACTAAAACTTCCCAGAACTGTGAACCCAATAAGCCTCTCCTCCCCAAAGTTGTGTATGTTGGGTATTTTGCCTCAGAGACAAGAAAGTGACTCAGGCAAGCCTTTAGCACGGCAGTGCTTCTGGCACTGTGCATCGTTCTTGGACTTCTCATACAGGAAGCTGGCCCTTGCTTGAGAGCTTAAGGCCTGTCACAGCAGCTCCCTGCTCTCTGCAGGGCTCACCCTGAGTGTGGCCACCCTATCTCCTCCCTGACGCTGACACTACCCTTGGGGCCTCAGGTCTAACGTTAGGTCTCCCCTTGCTCTCAGCACATCCCTGCTACTCTCCACTGTTAACAATGGGAGCAGGTATTTGTGCCTCCTCCATATCTGAGTTGAAAATAAGAAGCCTGGTGAAATGTTTTTTGAAAATAAAGAGCAAGCTGGGTATAATGGTGGACACCTGTAATCCCAGCATGCCGGGAGGATGAGGCAGGAGGAGCACAAAGTTTGAGTTCTACCTGGGCAACATAGTGAGACTAGCTCACAAAAGGGCTGAGGACGTAGCTCAGTGCAAAGGCCCTAGGTCTCATCCTCCAAGGGTGGGTGAGGGAGGAAGGGAGGCAGAAGGAGTGGGCGAAGGAGGGACAGAGACACAGACAGACAGACAGACAGAAAGACAGAGACAGAGATGGAGACAGAGGGAACACATCCATCCAGGAGTCCTGGAGCGTGGACTACGTCAGTACACCTCAGACACCCCACAATTCAGGGCTCCAAGGTGCTTCTTTGTTGGGGTGCACCTTGTAATTAGTGGCTTTTATGATTAAATTAGACCCACACTGGTCCCCTGTCATGTGATTACTGCATTTGCCATGGAACATTGTAGCTGAGTGGGACCTAAGGATGTGGACCGTGTGACAGGAGCTGCTGCCCCCTTCCTTGGAGGCCCAAGGTCAGAGAGAACCCTCAGATGCTGTCATGTGCTACAAGACACCAAGAGGAAAAGGCCCTGAAAGGTACCAGGCTGCAGGCCTGCAAGGCCAGCGCTCTGGAGGCTGAGGCAGGAGGAGGACTGCTGAGTTTGAGTTCAGTCTGGAGCAACTTAGTGACTTAGTGAGAATAAAAACTGGAAAAAAAGACTGGGGACACAGCTCAGTTCAAAGGTCCTGGGTTTAATCCCAGCAATGGGACAGGGCAGGAGAGGGGACAGGAGGGACGGATAGGAGACAGAGATCATGTGGCATATGAGTCAGAGTTCCCCAGAGACATAAGGGGAGAAAAGGGATGGATGTGGGAGCACACGTGTGCGTGTGTGTGCATGTGTGTGCACACTTCTTCTGCATGGTAAGGAAAGGGAAGCACACACAGCGACTTCCTCCCAGGCAAGACTCTCCACCTATGGATCCGACCAGCCCATACTGGCCCAGGGAGTCTACTGTCCACCTCCAGGCAGTGCCCGCTGGCTCCAGGGCACCTTCTTCACCCTGATGCTCTCCTGGGTAAGATGATGCCCATCCCGGGAAGAAGCTAGCTCCACCCACTGAAATGCCAACTTCTCCTGCCAACCCTGTACACAGCACTGTCCGAATCTGGTTACTTTCAACCAAGGTGCCCTCTCTCCTGCAGCCCTGCCCAACACAAGTGGGCCCTGTGGAAGTCACAGTCACTCTCCAGGGATCAGAGCTGGGCCAGGTCTGGGGTGGGCATCAGGCGTCCACCCTGAGATTTTTCTTGCCCCAGTGCTGAGGTATGAGGGAGTTCCCACAGAGGGCCTGAAAGAGCAGGTTCCCGGAAACAAGCGCACCCCGAGGGGCTGCCCCAGCTTCTCATGGGCCTGCACCTTGGTGGACAGTGAAGTCCCCTCTGCTGGCCACTCACACTGCTGGGGTGTCACATACCGGACCAGCCAGGGTAGTGGGAGGCAGCTCTGTGATCCTGGACCTGCAGGGTGGATGTAGGAGTCCTGGAATTCTTCACACCTCTCACCAGCTAGTGAGGTCCCGGCTCCCCTGCAGCTGCACCTGCACCGGGGAAGTCCTGGGAAGGAGGCTGCAGTCTCGGTCTGGTGAGAGGTCTGCTCCCCTCCCTTCTCTGCTTTCCACCCCGCACTTCTTCAGTCCTGCCCAAGGCGAGTAGGTGACGCCTAAACACTGAGCCGGCTGCTCCGTCCACCAGGAATGGAGCAAAGCGAATGACTGCCGTGCAGAGGCCGAGGTTGTGTTCATGCAAGCGGGGTCCACAGATGGTCAAAGGCACAGGTGTGGGGCACCGATCACTGTCCCTACAGGTACATGGTTGGCTTGGAAAGAGGCCCAATGTCCCCACGGCCACTTCCATATGGACCAGAGATGCCAGGAGGGATGCTGCGCTCAGCACCAGCCTGGGCCCCAGACCCCGGCAGAGAGCCCTACACATGATGGGGACCATTGCACCAGTGCAGGCAGTGTGGACCTGGCTGGGAAGGGATGCAGGGGTCTGAGCGCCACAGCGGGAGCTGTCAGGAAGAGGGGCTCAGCTGGGGGGGGGGGGGCTTTGGGAGCCCAGGAAGAGAATCAGGCTGCATGGGAACAGTGGTTCCTGCATTGCCGAGAAGGGAGCATGTACCCTGGGCAGCTTAGCAAGACCTGCCTCAAAAGACAGTGTAGCATAAGGCTCTGAGCAAGCCCTGGGTTCAATCCCCAGTACCACCAAGCTAAGGAGGCAGGGGTGGTCCTAAGGTGGCATCTGCAAAGGCCAAAGCCACAGGTGCAGAGGCAGGAGGACAGGGCAGAAGGTCCCGGGAGACCCTCTGGGGCAATGCCCAGGCTCACGGGGTGAGTTTGGGGAATCAAAGGGGACAAAAGCATGGGGTGGGGCTGGCTTGCACAGGTCATCAGCAGGGACCCCAGCAGCAGCCTCCAGCTCACACCCAGCACTGCAGGCAGAAGTGGGGGGGATTAGATGGATTCACTGGGTGAGAAGGGGAAGTCAAGCAATCCCATATCCCTGGATCACTGGAGAAAGCCATCCTAAGGATTCCTTGCCACTCTGGCCCTGCTCAGACCCTGGTGGCGGTAAGAGTCTGGGCCCTTGGGCCCCCCACCCACTCAGCCAGGCACCACAGTTTCCTCCTGTGCCTTCTGTGCCAGCTCCTCAAAACAGGTCATGGCCTCCTGTCCCTGGTGTTATAGACAGGGTGACACAGCCCCTCCATGGTCCCAGGGTCTAGGAAGCCATGGAGCAGATGAGTGGGGCCTTGGTCGGTCCCATAAGGGGCACTCACAGATGACCTTCGGGTGACACTGTCAACCTGGCACAAGCCTCCAGTGGGCTCCCTGGACATCAGGCCACACAGCCCACCACTGGTGATGAGGTTCACCCTGCTCAGCCATCTGTGTCCAGAGAAGGCAGGACAAGCCGTGAGGGCTCCCAATGCACTGGAACTTAAGGGGTGCCTGCTCCCAGTTCCCTAGGAATCCTAGGACAAGCTGGGGCCCCCTCAGTGGGTCACATAGGAACAGGTCTGCCAGGCAGGACCTCAGGCCACTCGGAACGTTGCTTGGCCGAGCTGCAGAGAAAACAGATGCGGGTGCCATCCCCACAATCGCACTTCCTGTCCACTTGGACCCTGAGTTCAACCTCACTGGTGTTTTTCAGAGTAAACCTGGCTCCAGTGCTGGTCTGGACGAAACCAGCACAAACCACAGAGTGGGCTGCAGCCCTGCAGAGCAGGCTGGGCCCTGGAACCCCGAAAATCCTAAGGCTGCTGTTTGGTTTTCCTTGGCTGAGGCTGCTGGTGTTAAAGAACAGAGCTCTAAACAGGTGACTGTGCACATCTGTCATCCCGGAACTCTGGGAGGGTGAGGCAGGAAGAGGGCAAGTGCGAGCCCAGTCCTGCCAACTTAGTGACAAGCTGGTTTCGAAAAAACATTTTTTCTTAAAGAGCCAGGGCATAGCTCAGTGCAAAGATCCTGGGTCCACTGCCCAGCACCATAATGGACAAAGAAGTCAGCCCTGCAAGCCAGAGAAATGTCCTCCAGTTACCATGGTATGGTATTGTACCACCCTGCCGCAGCTGTCTCTGCACTGTGCCTCACTCCTGCTCTGCCGTTGGGCCCAAGGGCCGGGCTCCCTCAAGCCTCCAAAAACCTGCTCAGGAAGCCCCAGCCCCAGTGTGTGTATGTCATGGGGCTCCCAGCCTCATCTTCATGATGCATGCCCTATGCTGTTCCTGTGGGAACTGTGCCACGGCCTTTGGGACCAAGCCTGACAC